CAGAGGAATCTTCAAAGGCAGGTCTCAGTGGAAAACTCCAGAACCAATGGGTATGGGAGAGACCACGAGGCCTCTGGGATAGCATGAGAGAAAACAATTATACTTGTACTCATAAGGGAATCTGCAAGCTTGTAAAGCTTCAAACAGAATTACCAAGCTTTAAATGCCAGTGAACATATGCTTGTTAAACAGTATTTAATCTACAATGAAAAGGTAATATCACCGCTTACTTTCCAGTTTTTCATTGCATAACATAATTTATATAGATGACATGTCTGAAAGTATTTATTTAGAAAGAAGGTAGTCAAAAAGTCAGAAACCACCCATCAATTAATTCATTTCCAGTGAAAACGACCTTTAAGCACAAGTATCACTGCATTACTGACAATTGTTGAAACATCACTGAATGTGGAACATCAATAAATTGGGATTGCCTGGATCATGAAAAGTAGAAAACGCAACCAACTTCTAAGACTGAACTTTGAAGGTGTAGGAATTATCTCTGCAGATTTGAAAAACTAAAAACAAGTCTCATGAAAAAAGTGGAAGCTTGAATAAAGGCAAAGCGTGGACACATTAGATACTGAAAAATTCAATATTATATTTAGTTGCTGAGGCTTTTGTGTAATCTCCTGTTAAACATATGCTTTCTGCTTTTTTCCCCCCAATGCCAAAAAATGAATTACTTGTACCTAATGGTTGTTTTGACTGAGAACTGAGTAAATGAATGGTGGTCTCTGACTTTTGAACAGTACTGTAGTTATAGCCAACTGGGTCCTCTATTCCTCTATTGAAGTTCTCTGGTATGGACTGTTCTCCAGCAACCACAACGCCCCCTCCCACAAACACAAACGTACAAACCCACAAACAATATACTACACTACACTACCATTAGCTCTGCTTTACCAGGCTGTGTTACCATCTGCCCCTCCTACTCCTCTCCCTGGAGAAATCCCTTCATCCATTAACATCCAGTATCCCCTCCCACCAGCCAGTGAAGGGACACCATCAACAGCCAATCCTCCCACCCACACACATGCACAACACAAGCCCCTTTGATAAGTGTATTACAGCATGCCACTTGCAAGGATTGTTTATTTCCCTCTTTATAATTAAGTGACAGATGTCAGCCATCCATCCATCCAAATATTGATCAACACAGTCAGAGGCATCACAAATTTTAGGCCTTAGTTGATGACAATATGAAGTAATGCCTTTCGCAAATATTACACATTAATGTATCTGAAGTGCTGTAAAACACTCTTGTTGCTGACAGGCAGCTTAGGAATTAAAATGCAGCTAGAAATCACAAAAGTACATGATCTACAACCTCTGCAACAGAAATCATAGAGGAACTGCAGTAAACTGCCCATAGTTTTAATGCCTTTGTTGAAAACAGACATTGTACAACAAATAATAACAAAAAAAAGAAAAAAAAATTCTAGGTAGCAAGTTTGCTTGTAACAGAAGGCAAGGTGCCATTGGCACTATGCAACGTGCATCACACGGGGCCAAAGAACACATCTTCAAACACTTCTCTGCCTTTATTCATTTCAGGCATTCGGATTAAATTTACTTTGACAAAACCAACATGTTATTGTACAAAGCCGCAATGTACACCAGCAGGCTCGAGAGGCCAGGCAAACACTGGAAACATGTTTGGCTGCCTAATGAACGGGTAGCTCCTCGATTAATAACATCTGCCGCAATGAAAACACGCAACTAATCTGGCCCTCGTTACCAAATAACCGAGGGCAAAGAGTTGGGGAGGGAACGCGATACTCCACAGACTGTGAGACAGGGAGAACTCCAGCCAAAGCCATGTGGTTCAGGGGAGTCTGCATTCAGAGCAGCCAGGAGGCTTATCTTCCCCTCAAATCCCTACACACATGTACAAGCAAGCACACACACACACACACACACACACACACACACACACACCCCCAGAGACAAGACCTGGGACAATAATACTCTAATGGCACCAAGGCAGGCCAGTTGAACCATCACTGAGATGAACATCCCAGAAAAGCTGGTTTAGAGATGTGCTGCGCCATAGAGCTGAGCGGGCTGGTCTCAAAATAGATATAGAAATACTTACAATATGAAAGTCATTTTTTCATATTTGCCTGAGGAAGAAGGGCAGAGCATCACAGAGTCTGAGCCAGCAAAGTGCACAGATTTTAGATTTACTACAGCTCCAAGCCGTGTTATTACTGTTTACAAAAACTATAATGAAAAAAAGTAGTTAAAAAAAATTGTTAACTTTATTAAATATAAAAATGAGCAACACAAACAAAAGAAAATAGAATTGCTGAGGAAAAAAGGTTAATATTTTTACAGCAGGAAGGATAATTCAGAAATTAAACCCTTCTATGTCTTTGGCTATATCTTATGGAAAGCTTGCAACCTAACCTAGCAGAGTCTTCTGTTGAGTTTTAGTGTTGTTAAAACAGCGAACCTCATCTGAAAGAAACTACAAGCTAGTTTCTGCTAAAGGCAGATGTGTACCTGTTGATGTACCAGTGATGGAAAAGAGAATGGAACAATGCTAAAAGAGAATAATGACAACGGCAACTGCTTGTTTTTACATTTAATAAGTTAACTTTTTTTTTACTGCTTTTTCTTTCATTATAGTTTTTGTAAACAGTAATAACCCTGCAACATGCTCTCTGCACAGCATGCAAACACTAAAAACCATCTCAGAGCTTTCAATGATTTGACAGCAATCAGAGGTGTAAAAATGACAAAGAAAGCTATACTAAAGTGAAAAAAGGGAACTGTTGAAATGTAACACAAAAGTGGATATACAGAGCCAAAAATAGACTTGAATAAAAGTAATAAAGTATAAACAATTAAATGTACTCAAGAGCATAAAAGCAAAAAGTATCTGCAAACTTTTTGCAAATAAGTTAAAAGTTTTCCTTGTTGGTGGTGTATGGTGTGGGTGGTCCTCACACAAACACAAGTACTTTGTAAAGTAATGGGCAGTTTACACTGATGTCATTTTGGTGAGATGTTTTAATTAAAATTAATAATGTATGGGAACGCAACTGAAATGAACTGAAAGCAACTGAAGCAAGAATGACCATAATATTTTGTAAATTCCGGAAGTGTCTGACTGTCAGAAGCAGGAGTATGCGCACACACATATGACAAAAATGACTTGAGGAATTAAACAAACTTGATGTTGATTTCCTGTTCTACCTTAAATAGTGCAGCAATTTCCCCATTGTGGGACAAATAAAGGATTATCTTATTTAAGGTGGAACAGAAAATTTGAACAAAAAAGCTGGCAAATAAGAAGCCAACTTCAGCCTTGAAACTAAGACATTAAATATTAAATATTTAGCACCATTTTTGCCAGGTCTTCTGCGTTATAAATGAATACTGACACAGGTTTGTGTGTATACACACACACACACACACACACACACACACACACACACACACACACACACATATATACATATATATATATATATATATATATATATATACACATATATATATACACACACACATATATATATATATATATATATATATATATATATATATATATATATATACATACATATACATACATATATATATATATATATATATACACATATATACATACATATACACACACATATATACATACATATACACACACATATATACATTTTTTTTTTTTCACATATACTTAAACACAGTTCTCATTTAAACATCAAGGGACATTCCAGAATAATAAGCCACTGTTAACTTTAAGTAATAGTTTTTTTTAATAAAAAATTTGTAAGTAGTAAAGTAATAATTGAGTAATAAAGTAATAATTACTTAAGCATCTAATTTTTTTTTAATTATAAGATAAGAAGGTGAACAAGAGTGTATAAATATATAGCTATGATGCAATAGGCTGCTGTTAGTATATACAGTGTTTAAGAATTGTGTTTTGGAGCTGTAATACATCTCACTTATGTTGCATAGCTTTGTAGATTGTATAGAATTTTTTTCTGTATTTATGAATGCATCTTGAACTCTTCATTCTACCTGTCAAATACCTACAACCACATCTCTGATTAACATAAAGCTGAAACTACATAAAACAACAAACTAAAGTTAATAACACAGCCTTAAAACTGAATAAAAAGCTTAAAGAAAAAAGAAAAAAAACACAACAAAACTGAAAAAGTATTGCATAGCATGTGCCCCTCCCCATCATCTCCCTCTTTACTCTGATAAGATGCACCCAAAAGTACACCAGTGGTTTCCACAAATTATGGCAAATGAGAGATCCAATAAAAAAACGAGATGTATCAATGATACAGTTATTAATTTCAATATACTGTCAAGATCATGAACTTTTACCTAATGACTGTCATATAAATAATTGCGATTAGTGATTTAATTGTCTTTTCTTGCTCACTGTTTGTAACTATTAAAGTACAAGCCTAAAGTGGCTAAACTGGATGATTAGCCAGTGGCTAATAGCCACCTTACTTGCTAGCTATGTTTACTAAGTAGCTAGCACTGGTCGACTCACACAAATGTCTAAAGTTACACAGAATTATGCGTAGTGTTAAGCCAAGTTACATGCTCTTCATTCTGACGGCATGCATGCTAAAAACATTAGATATAGCCACATACCTAATAAATAAACATTACTCAGATCTGGCCTCATGTTACAGCACCAAATTAACATGTTTGAGGATCAAGCTAGAACTTTTTCGTTTTCATAAGCCCAGAGATGCCTTAATGAATGCATTTACTGCTTTCTTTTATTTATATTTTCTTGCCTCAACCTAACGCACGCAATTCACATTTTGCGTGTTGCAGCATAATATGATGGAAATCTAAAGACAGTGGAAAATGACTGCAGACAGCCTAAACAACTGAGATTATTTCAAATAAATGTGACAATTTTAAATAACTGCGATTAGGCAATTGTTTAGGCTAACTGCAGTCATTTTCCAGGCAATGTAATAAATGTGACCGGCCTCCTTAACACATAATACCTGTTTCTCCAGAATGCGGGAGATTTCACCCAGGGTCCTGTCTAAGCCAGATACTTTGTTGTTGGCCCACTGGCCACTGTCCTGCCCCTGCAGCTGCTTTCCCAAGTCCTTCACCAGACGCTGCAACCTACAAACAGGCACACACACAAGGGCAGACAGAAAAAATGAGGGGCAACTTAAGATGCCATAACTGAGTACATGTGGTAGGAGACCAAAAAAAAAACTAAAATCACTGCTGAGCAAGGCAACACGTTCACCTTAAAAACTTAAAAACAAATGTTCTTGAATGATGCAAGTCTTCAGTAGGCACGTGTTAAGTGCATGTGCGTGGGGGGGCATGAAGGTTTAAAAGACATGTCAGAGATAGGAGCAAGCCAAATGCTTGTAGATACAGCTCAGGTGTGGGTGTACAATCATTAAAACTGGAGCTAGGATCTTACTTGGCCTTGTAAGGAGAATCTGGAATCTGCATCTTAGCCTCCATGGATGTCTCATACTCCTTAGCCCTGAGAAGCAAGAAGACAAACAGATCATGAGAGAGCAATAGAGAAAGAGAGCAACCAAAAAAGACTGAGTGAGCACAAGAACGAGAGAGAGAGAGCGAGAGAGAGGGAGAGAGAGAGACGTCAGCCTGAAGACATGAGGAGATAAGACGACAGTGAGAACAAAGAAAAGGTCAGGAGGCCAATCTGTGTCTCTAACTGTTTATTTAGCCTGTCAACTGCCCTCCAAAGTGAAAAAAAGAACTAAAGTCAAGTACAAATAAGTCAAAACATTGTCTCTCTCTTTTGGACAAGTCATTTTAGACAAATTTCATCTAAACCTGAAAGTATGAAGAAATGAACTGAAGCTATACACTCATCATTTAAAATGCTGAGGTTGTTAGCAAACACTTTTGTAGCTAGCCTGTCACTCCAGCAACACTCCAGCCTGAGGGAAACATCAATCAACCACAAAGTCAGGGCATGAGTCAGGTCTAAGCCAGTGTTGTGGTCCACCACCAGAACAGATTCCTGTCCATCCCACGTCTCGCCGATAAGACTGATCGATCAGTTCCTGACAAACCAGCTGAGGGATAGATGCCCTGCAGTTGATAAACTCCGGCACTTTCCGGAAGGCCAAACTGAAGGATGAATGTTCCCAGAAAGCCAGGGCTACTTCTGTCTTTAGTATCACCATATTTTTTTTAGGGCTGGATTAAAAAGTATTTCGAATGAGCCTGAAAATGTCATTTGATCCAAACATAGGCTTAACCTGTGAGCTAAACTTCCCATACAGGCTTAAACTGAAATTGAAGCCTATGGAGTTTGCTTAAATGTTCTAAGTGATGTACAGATTCAGCTCGATTGAATTTATCAATTCAAAAATATAAAATACAATTTACAATTTAAACCTGGGCCGAATTATAAGCGCGACTGAATGATTAGTCGAGTATCTAATTACTGGCTAGGAAGGCAGACAGTAAAAGAATCTAAAAAGAGATCAAATGCCTTCAGCAGATGTTGGCTCAAGGAGGATTAAAAAGCCTTAGTCCTGATGTTTAAGAGGGGAATAAATCAGCCTGAACACTGTATGAACTGCATGTGAATTTGATAACACATCACGAGAGGATGGAAAAGCTGGGAGAGAGACCACAGGGCCATACCTAGCACTTAATGAAACAATCTCACCTGAGTGTTAAGTCTTAGCTCAGAACACTCAGAAGAAAAAAAGAATTATAGCCTAAACGAGGTTCCAGAAGTTCCAAGAAGAGTCTGAGACTTTATGAATGGAAGCCGGAATGAAGCCCACAACACCAACAGTGAAAGGAACTGTTTAAATAGAAAGCCTATGTGGGATTTACATTGGAAAGATAATCTGCTGGAACTCCTGATACATTTAAAGCTTAAAGGAGTAGCTGAAAATCAAATTTAGACTATTTTCCCCTTACTTCAAATTTATTTATTTATAGTTTTGCATTCAAGCTAATTTAGCTCACAAGTAATTGAAGCTAATGCCACACAACTTAGCACTGTCCACACTGCCTGCCTAAATCACCACACACTTGGTTAGAAACCATGTCAAGGTGTTAAATAATCACAAGTAGACTAACAGTGTAGGGTAAAAACCAACCTGTCAGCTATAGGGGATGCACAATGATACTGGAAGCAGATAATTGTTTAACAAAAAAGTTCTGATTTAACCAATATTTTGAAGTGATATTTAATGGCATATGTGCATGAGATGCTACTAATAATAATTATGCAAATAATAAACATAATAATGTTTAGGAGATACTAGTCCACCATACTAAAATATCTCCATTTTATTCATTTTGCTGCAATTGTAACCCCATAGAAATAAGAGTTACATTTCTCATCATTGCTAACTCGAGCAATACTTTTGACCTCTTTATAAATATTTATGTAAAAGCCAGATATGTACACAAAAATACTGGATAAAGGCACTGAGCCAGAATTCCCATATCTGTGCATCCCTATTAGCTACATTAGCCTTGAAGCAACTTCTTTAGACCAAATTTTTCTTGGCCTATCGACTACTTTTGGTACATTTTTGTGCATGAAAAAGTGAGACTGGCAAAGGCTGCCAAAGTCACAGACGGTTGATCTCCCTGCAAGCTTGCTGGCTACCTGGACCACCCCAGTCACAATGAAGCCAACAGCAAGTTTAGCTGCATTATTTACCACAGCCTCAGAGAGGCTCGCATAAAAGCATGCAGCAGAGCTTTTTAAGGGAAAGCTTGAACTATACCTGGCCCCTTCGTCATCCTCCGTATTACAATATTCATCTCTGACAGCTTTACGCCTGTACAGGTTAAACGGGGAGCAATCGGCGAGCCATCAATCAACCATGGTGGCAGGACCCGTTAAATGGGCCAGGGGGTTATAAATATTAGTAATCAGCAATAAGGGGGGGAAAAAGCTACACAGCTACAATGCAGAACTAATAATCAATTCATCATGATCTGCCCCACCATTCACCTCCGCCCATGCTGGATGGAGATAGCAGCCCCCCTAGCTCGGACCATAAAAATGTCCATGCCTCTGGACGGAAAAAAACAAATACACTGCATCCTTTTTTAAAAGGTGCAACGAGAACCTGAGCATTTGGCACTCCCGGTTACACAGAGCATTTAGCCAGGCGCTGGTGCAATATTTAATAGTGGGTTTGAGAGGCTTTCAATCATGCACCTTCACTGCTGACGAATAAAGAATTAAACCTGGATCTGAGGAATATCTAAAGAAAGGAAAGGATCTGGTCCCATTAATAAAGTTTACAAATGCATGTAAGGACATGGATGTAATCTATATCCTGGAGGCATGAACTGTAAGAGAAGTTCACGTGCTGCCTTCATCGTATGAAGCATGTCGGGAGCAAAATGAAGGGGTTTGTGATTTCCGCTGTGCCTAGTTCCAGCAGAGTTCTTCATGGGCACCTATGACATGCTCTTTCCCTGTTTTCCTGCAGCTGCTGTCCACTCCCCCCCGACCAAAGAACGTTTTTTGGAGAACTAAGTCAGAGCAGTGCACACTGTGAGTACTGAACAGGAGGTTCTTTGTATGCAGCCCTTCTCTCTGAGGTAGACCCAAACACTGAGCACTCTGTTCACAAGCCTGGGGAAAAGACAAGCAACGCACAGGCCAAACATCATACACAAGAGAGAGCCGATCCCACTGCCGCACCAACATGCTACTTTCATGGTAAACAGAAGCACATACGTGGAAAAAAAACACCAAGCATATATTTGTAAAATACATGTGTTAAAAATTGCACTGGCTTCTTCCCCAGCCTTACTGCGGCTTAATGATGACAGCAGGGGACAGGGCGACCTGTGAGGGCTGTGAAAAGCTCTCTTGCCTTTTTCCAAACGCCACCCGCCGCTCCTATAAAACGCCTCATTTCCACCCAGTGGTGGAGCCGCTAACCTCGTCTTGCTGGGGCCGTGGGCGGCGGTGATTTATGGGCGTCAGCGCCTGTTCTCTCTCCATCTCCGCATTCTGGGGCTCAGGCAGCGAGTGATAGCGAGCAGAGTGGGCTCAGGCCTGTCACTTTCTCAGCTCCAGCCCCATGGAGCACTACTTACTGGCCCTGGATGCTCTATTTTAACCCTCTCAACTATAAGAGCCCATCAGTGGGTCAAGACTCACTCTCATAACTAAATACCATACATTACAGTTGATTTGTAGTTACTGAATAATTCGTTGTAGTTATTGAATAATTATTATCAGTCAGTGAATTATAAGCCTCGCAATTACTAACTGGAAAATAAGTCTAGAGTTTAAGGGGTTATAACAACGAAGTCTAGCCTGGCCTGGTCCACAGAACAGCTCGTCCACTGGCTCTCCTCCAGGAGCTTGTTAGGAGACTTGAACTAAATGGATTCCGTTTAAAGGTAAAGTGGAATAAAACTGACAGTCACTTAAATCTCACAAATTAATTAGGGGTGAACTAATTGTGATTTATGGCTGATTCCAGCTGTAATTTCTTTAAAGTCGGCTGATGCCACTGATGTGCTAGTGGAAATTAGCATTACGCTAAAAAAAAATAAAAAACTGAAAAAGGCTACTCATCGAGTGAATGTTTCTACATGAAAGTGCTGCTTTTCACATAATGAAATATTCATCATTATATGTCACAATCATGAAAAGCTTACTAGATTATCCTATGCTTTAGGTTAGTACAGGTTGCACTAGTACATTGTGGAGGTGAGTTCAGGCAAAAAAGCCCTGGGCTGGCATGGAAGAGTGGAGCTTCACATAAATGACACAACAGAAAATAGTTTTACTTTGGGATAGGTGAACACTGTTTAGTTACTATGTATAGACTCAGATTATGTATAATATTGCAATAGATATTTCTAGACATTCTCTCTTTGGATCTGTAACTGGTCGGTTCAATGTGCTCAACTACTTAGTCTTCTCAAGGACAGACCTCAGAAGTGGTTCTGAAACCAGTCCTCATAACCCCTAGACAGTCCACATTTTATGCCCTATCCCAGCTCTGAATAAACAGGGACGGAGTAAAAAACTGGACTTCCTGGTTGCTCCTGAGTACAGGAGTAGGCATGCACCACTAGGCACAGCATGGCTACCAGTAGAGTAAAAGATTACACAGTGAGCCTAATACAGCCACACCCACCACACCAACTTAAGCTCCAATGACTCCTCCTTAAGACAGCATGAAAAATAACTGTGTGTGTGTGTGTGTGTGTGTGTGTGTGTGTGTGTGCGCGCGTGTGTGTGTGTGTGTGTGTGTCTTTCTGTCTAAACTCTGTCACACTAAAACACACAGACACAGACACACACACACACACACACACACACACACACACACACACACACACACACACACACTACAGTTGGGACAACAGCAAAATTTATTGTGCCCAGGTCTAGAATTTGACACTGAGGCACGCTGCCTCCTATTTGTTGATTACTATTGATTTTCTTTGATACTTCATTTAAAAATCAATAGGCGAGAGAAAGAAAAACAGGCATGGTTTACACATACTTTAACATACTATTGTACACCAGAGGAGGCTTCAGTTTTGGCAGCCCAGTGGCAACCAATTAGGAGAAAAGCTCTTAACAGGTGAAAGCGAGGGAGCCCTCCAGATCGATTCTCACTTTTTCCTCCCCAATCACACAAAGTGGCCATAAATTAAGCTCATCAGTGTTGCTCTGAAGACAGCCGAGATGCACAGTGCCTCTGCTTTCCATCTCCTTGTCACTCATAAAGCTCTCACACACATGCCACACTGTCCTTTATCCGTATGAGTGACTGTCATGCATGAGAGAAAGAGAGATGGGGAAAGAGGGAGAGGAAGAGAGAGCGCGAGAGAGAGAGAGCACGCGAGAGAGAAAGAGAGCGCGAGAGAGAGAGAGAGAGAGAGAAAGAGAGAGAGAGAAGAGCATCACCTTGAGTTCATTCGTGCACGGAGTTTCTTGGCCTTTTTCCGTGCTTTCTGCCTCTCCTCCCCATCCTTGGCACTCTCCACAGCCACAGTGGTATCCGTCACTACGTCTACTATGTACTTCTTTAAAGACAGGTGCTCCTGTGGCAAAGAAAGCAAATCAACAGAAACCCCTACAATGAGAGCACACATGCAGTATTATCAAAAAGAGTGTATCAGCAATAACAGTCAACTTCATCCACTTTCACAATCTGGATTCTATACTGAACAAAATCCTCTCTGGTCTCCTTAAAACTTAACGGAGACAGATACATTTTCATTGAGAGCTTTATGAGTGACTGGAGGCCATGACAATTTAGAAACTACAGGTGGAAACTAACTACATTTTGTCTGATTATAGTACTTTAGTATGTTTCCCTGTAACGGTGCGTTTTTGAGTAGAATTAAATGCTTTTACTCTTGAGATAATTCAGAATAAAGTACTCTTAGTGTGCTTCTTTATATTAATTACAATCATAGAGTAAAAACAGATATGTATATCAACTTGTAAACCAATTAGAAGGGAAAAGAGAGAAATTTAAAAAAATTCAGTTCGACATACAAAAGTGCTGCTCCGAAAACACAACAGTTCAGCTCTAACGTGCTCAGAGACATCAAGTTTAGTGGAGAAAGAGGATAACGTTAACAGCCCACTCAACATAAATGCCTTACCCAATACGTCATCTACATTAATTTTTAAACAAATAATACGGCATTCTTTTGAAATGTCAAGTATGCCAAGCAAAACCTGTCGAAAACTCTGGTTTGCACATCTGAGGAAGCACACAAGCAGTTAGCTGGCAGGCTAACTAATTTTAGCTTTTGTTGTTTTAGAACAGTGGTCACCAGCCTTGCTTCTGGAGATCTACCTTCCTGTGGAGTCTAGTTCCAACCATAATCTCCCACAACTGCTCCAACTAATCAACTTCTTCAGAAGTCCTTAACTAGCTGAATCAGATGTATTAGTGTTAGGTAAGCATGTTAGATGCAGGTTGGAACTAAACTCTGCAGGAATGTAGATCTCCAAGAGAAGAGTTGGTGACCATTGTTTTAAAGAATGACAGCTATTTATTAAACATAAAAGCTGTTGCTTGTACGTTTTATTGTGTTTGTGCACGTTGGCTAGCTAATTTAGCTAATGGGCCATAAAAATGCATTATTAATTATCTACCCATTATCAAGTAATGCTTTTTAAAATTCTTTAATTAAACAGTAACAAACAATGTATAGCCTTTCAGGGATTCCAAACTACTTTGATGGAAACAGCAAAACTAGGAAGCTTTACATAAGTGCTTCATGAAATGAATGTTGTTTAATGCACCCAGTGCCTTACACAGTACAGAGCAGGGTTATTAGGGATGCATCGATACCAATAGTGGTACTGGGTATCGGGCCGGTACCATGCTCATTTACTCATTTACTCGTACTCATACAAATTCACCAATGCCAACATTCCAATACCAGCCGTGACGTAAGCCGAATGTACAGTGCTGCGCTAATGAACAAACACTGTGAAGTAGAACCTGCTCACACAGAGCGCTGCTGACTCCGTCACAGACGGATGAGAATAAGATTTTTTTTTTAATTACATGGTGTATATCTGACAATCAACTACAGCTCGACTAACCAAACAAAAAAACCCTGCTGTGAGAGACTGCTGTCGAAAGACACAGATGAGTAGTAAAACTACAGCTGCACTTTTCTGATGTGGAACAAAACCTGCTCTTCTCCACTGCAACACTACTCAATCTAAGGTAGTGTTAAATAATATAGCACAGATATGCACTATATTTAGAATCAGCGAGATTTTAATGATTTAACTGTTAAGATACGTTGCTCTCATTTACACTTACAACTACCTAATTCCAAGTAAGCTGTTCAGTATGGTATCAGACTCTGTATTGGTGAGTACTAGAAAATATGTAGCCTACTCATACTCACTCTGAAAAAAATACTATCAATACAAACCTAGTTATTATAATAAATTATTACTTACACAAAAACTAACAGTGAAAAAATGTGCTTGTTAACGACAAATTTCAAAAACACAAAAACTACATCAAAACTAAAATGCCCACTGCAAAACTAACTATAATAAATTAGAATTATTAAGTAATTTTTGTTTTTTCAGTGCGTGAATTAGAGGGCCTGTGTGGGGTTTTTAAGGAAAGCTGGAGCTGAGCCGAGCTCAGTCTACTGTTGTGTTCATTTAATTCTACTCTGATCAAATACCTGCTGTAACAGTGTTCATTATAATACTAAAAACTGAAATTAAATAAAAAACTTAGGTTTTTAACTTACTTACTTTTCAGAAAATAAAAACTAAATGAAAACTATTAAAGCACCCATTAAACTAACTGAAACTAAACAGAAACCAAAAACAAAAAAAAATGAAATGAAAATAAAAACTAATGAAAATATAAAACTATAATAACCCTGCCACACAGGAAGTAGCTAGGAGAATGTACTGTGATTAGATGCAGGCCTTTTTTGTACAGGTTATTTCCAATGATACATCCAGCTCAAACATATTAAAAGTGTCACTGTGAATATATAAAAAGTAAAAACACTAATTACTTGAGTAGTTATTCAATAAACTTACAACTGCATTTGCAAAACAGTTGGGATGCAGTGCAAAACGTAAATAAAAACAAAATGCAATGATGTGCAAAACACTTGAGCCATGTATTTAATTGAAAATAGTACAAAGACAATATATCAAATGATGCAAGTAAAAAATTTGATACATTTTTGAAAAATATACACGCATTTCGAATTTAATGCCAGGAATACATTGCAAAAAATTTGGGACGGGGAAACAAAAGACTGGAAAAGTTGTAAAATTCTTAAAAAAAAAAAAAATTATAAAAAAAGAACCTTGTGGAACATCAGGTTTATTGGCAACAAGTCAGTAACATGATTGGGTATAAAAAGAGAATCTCAGAGAGTCTTTCAGAAGTAAAGATGGGGAGGGGTTCACCACTCTGTGAAAGACTGTGCAGGCAAAGACAGGAAAAGCGTTTCTAAACATGAACTAGCAAAGAACATGGGGATTTTATTACCTACGGTACATAATATCATTAAAAGGTCTAGGGAATCCAGAGAAATCGTTCAGGCAAGGAACAAGGCCAAAAACCCTATAAAAAATAAAAATATAAAAATCCTATATCAAGTCACTTTCAAAGCTACATGAACTGGTCTCCTCAGTTCCCAAACGCATAGAGTGCTGTTAAAAGAAGAGGTGTTCGACTACACTATGTACATTTGATTTTTTTGCTGAGTTATCATTTAAACATTAACAGAGTGGCTCAGAGAAGACAAAGCATCCAATTGGTTTTGCAGGAATCTCTGCCCAGCAGACATCCTATGAGTTCTAAGGTGTAGGTATAAGGGCATTCAAAGCACAGGTGTTGAAGCTCATTGCTTTTGGCTGGTGCATTGTGTGGGGTAATTATCCAGGCATCTCCACCACTCGGTTGCGGTGTGAGGCGGCGGAAGCGCTAAAGGGAGAGAGGTATAGCTTCCCGTCTAAAGAACAGTGGGCCCTCTCTGATGACGCTGATACTTCCATGAGAAGAAAAACGGATGTAACTTAATTTAAACGACATGATGCATGTGCCAGAACGCAATTATCCCATTATCCTGTCATCCGGCACCTCAGAGGATGGGAGCGGAGAGGAGGGAGAGAGATAAGGGTTTGTATTCAGAGCTGCTGCCGATGCACGTGGATGCCATTCCGGGTGGTAACATTGTACGGGACACTATCTTTGCTGCTGTCTCACAGGTGAAACTCAGCAGCCAGGTGCCACTTCAATTCTACTATATACATAGTTATCTTCCCATAACCAAGCTGACAGAAAATGATACCAAGAGGAGCCCACAAAGCTGCAGTTAATTTTCTGACTTATTTAAGGTCAACCTGAAATAAAAGTAGAATTTTTTACATTGTTGGTTCATGTCTCTGATCATATTAAGCAGGATTCATCATATCAATTAAAAGACAAAATATGGGTTTTCCTATAAGCTTTGATTGAACTGACTTCTGCTCTCCCCTAAAACATCTTCTGATTTTTGATGTCAACATGTGGCAGAAGGAGGGAAAAACTAGCCAATAATGTGTTTTACCACCCAGCCCCCATCTCTGAGTGAAATGCTCAGCTAGCTCAGAGACCCGCCCTGATACCATGTTTTATTCAGAAATATGTCACAATATGGAAGGACACTGACTTCTGTAAGATCAATTATTGTATTATTATTGTTATATTTTATTATATAATTATTATTATACTACTAATAAGGTTATATTAGTGACATTGCTTGAACGGAAATCTATTTTCCATAAATTTACATTATAATATTTACATTTTTAAAATTTATATAAATGTTTTTTTTAAATCCAAGGTGGAACCGATAGGAAATAGAAGCAATAGAGCAGAAGTAGAAGCTTTTAGTGAATAATTGAAAGCTGACATCAGTTTTTACAACAAACAAAACCTGAGCCACACAAATTTTTTAATGACCACAACACATCTGCAAATGCTCATCACCTGTCTGTTAGGGACAAAACGGGGTCAGCAGGATTTTCTTTAAAATTTGTGTACTTAAGATGAATTCCATTTTTACGCAGTGTGAATAAATGAGTGTGTGTGTGTGTGTGTGTGTGTGTGTGTGCGCACGCATGTTGGGGACCTCCACACCCCCCTGGGAGCAGGAGTTGAGCCTTGCAGTCATAACCATTGGCTCCCCTTTGCCAGAGAGGCATCTGGCGAGTAATCTCTCTGAAAGGCGATCTACTTCTCCTGCCGGCCAGTTAATGGGATTGTTTCTGTAACACCTCAAAGACATGCACCATCTTGAGATTATATCAGAGTGAGCTTTGGAGGGGCAGCATCAGGATCAGATCTGTAGTGCTGGACTAAGCTTATATCACAGCGTATAACTAAAGTAAACTATGCCATCAAAGCCACACCTGCTGTCCTTTACGTTGTGTAAAAATTTCATGATGAATGGACCAATAGAAAAAGCTCTAAAATCACTTGGAATAAAATCTCTTATCTTACATTAAAAGGCAAGAGTGTTTTTTCCCCTCTCCTCTCAAGTTACTATTTTGGAGATATTTGTTTTTCTTTGGACAGCGACGATATGTAAAGTGTCTCTTTTCTGATTGGCTACCCTGTCTTGTGCCTCATTCAAAAAGCAGCCCAGGCAGAAACACTCTTTATGACTTCACAGTCAGTGGGCAGGGCTCAACTGCTAGTGGCTGAATAGGTCGAAATAGTGGATACAGAAAAAAATATATATTTTTATAGCATCACAAAAACAGTGACCTCAAAATGGGCTGTTTTTGCAGCACAGTTTTCATGTATGGACTGTATGGAGTGAATGTATGCTTTGAAACTGTTACAATGTTTTCATATTATACTAGGCATGGGCGATATGGCAAAAATATTGCAATACCTAAACATATTTTCACAATCCATGATATGTATCACAATACTTTGACACAGACACAAAGCACTTGTAGTGGCACTACAAAAACTGCTATTAAAACTGATAAAAGTCGTACCCAAACATTTCACAAACTCTGCTGCATTAAATCCAATTGGACATGACTACTTATGCTCTCTTTTTTGCTGAAACATGCAGTTGGTCAGTGTTCTATAAGTAGTGACAATATCCATGATAAGCTATGTGAATTGTTTAACAGGTTAACAAATTTAACATAATATCGCTAAAATATCATATCGCCCACTTCTACCTACATGAACTATTTTATTTCGAAAATGTGTTTCTCCATGATCTGGACTCTTTAAAATAACAAACAAAGTCTTACTATGGCAGGGGGTGAAAACTCTAGGCAGAGAGACCTCTATGATGACCTGTCAGAGGATTGATTGAGTTGAGGAAGCTGCATGATGGGTGTTTCTTTGCACTAAAGAGACAAAAGAAGGGGTACAAGAGAGAGAAAAGCCTGGGGCAAGGACAGCCTGACAATACCATGCAGTATTTGGTGCAGGTAATGGGAGCCTACTCTAAACATCACACTGCCATGGTCCGCTCAGGGCCTCTAGACCCTCCCAGTGTCACGCTCATATGACCCGCCCATCCTCCACTCCTTTGTATCACACAAAGAGCGGCACAGGATGGCTTTCCCCCAGTGTCAGACAGACAGCTGTATGTCATCCTGGTTCAAGGTGAAGATATGGTGTATCAGGTGGCATGCTCAGGCTCTCTCTCTGTCTCACAAACAGCATCAGTAGCACCTATTCACATGGCGGTTATATCACCACCTCAGAGGCACAAATTCCCATTATGTCTTTATGTTATTAGAGTTTTGATATACATGGACTACCATTTCTTACCGGACAAACTAACGTACTTTGTCAATAAAGTCAAACAAGAACCTGGTAATATCCTTTCGTAAGGAAGCTGTCAGGCACCATCATATCAGTGTGGTTCTTCACTCATAGCCTGAGCCACTCAGGAAAAAAAATGAAGCGAAGGGAGCATCTTCTATTTAAGAGGTCAGTGGTGTTTTTTGGTCAGACGTCAAGCGTGAGCAATAAATTACAACTCCCATGCGTCAAAGGCGATGGGTCAGGAACCTCCCGTATATTACGTTAAAACAGGACAGATGACAACCAATAAAGGTAAGTAAGGAGAGCAATGGCAGCTCCGAGCGTTCCCCAGGCCCATCGATCCATCCCTGTTGATAATCACCTTATTTTCAATTTAATTCACAAGTCCTTAAAAAGGCAGAATGTGACTAAATACGAGGACGGGGGCCGCAGAGGCTCCGCTTCCGCAGAGAAACTGCGCTGTGACCTCTGCACAGTTCAGCCAACCGTCTTCATTTTAATTAAAAATCTTTCACGACGGCAAGAGTTATGGAAGTCTCAACTGGAAAATAGTTGGCGGTTGCATGAATGAAATACGGTGCACCAAAATGGGAAGAGACATAAATATGGAAGGCTGAAGGCCCACGTTAAAACTATCCAAACAAAGTCCCCACTCAGGCTGCCTTCACATGCTGCAAATGAAAACGGCTTGCCAAAGCCTAGAGATGGTACTCAAAATAAGGAGAAGAAAAAAAAAAAACTTTGACGTGAGGTCCAGGAGTAACATTTTCGTTACTAATTAGAACAGAGGACAGCGCTGATTAATACAGGGACAATTTCACAGTGCCAACTTTCTGTAATAATTCTCTCTCAGCGCAAATTTCTTTCACTGTTATACATTGCGCTCCATAACTCTTGTAATGGAACTAAATCAGAATTTGGATTAAAGTAGGTTAATGAAAGAAATCATTTATGAGTACACGGAAGCCGATTTAATCCATTACACTGTCTAATTTAGAAGCAAGTTTACGTGTCAGTCGCACCTTATACATATTGCAGTTTTTCTCTCTAGCAGTTGCTTGTTTACCCCTCTGTCAGGCAGAAGAATGGCCAGCAGTAACTGGTTAATGATTTAGAGTGGGGGAGACATTAAAAATTACCCGCTGGAAAAAAAGGTTCAAATGAAGGAGGTGTGGAGGCCAAAGGTGCAGCATATAGCACCAACAGTTGTCAGCTACACAAAGAGCCTAGTGTGAAAGGCAATCTCATATTGCAGAGAGTGGCTCCCTGTTAACGAGAGGCATCCGCAGGACAGGCACTCTGTTAACAAAGACATACGGAGACAAGGGGGTGATCTCACCCCTCCATCGTGTCACTGAACTCTATTGCTGTTGATTTTGTCACACTCATGTATTGCCCCATAGACTCAACAAACAGTCTGACCAGAGGGTTAAAAGGCAAAGGGGGTCGGGTGTCCCTCCTGCTACCTTGGACATGTACTGCATATATATATATATATGTATATAAATGTAGAGCATATATATATATACACATATATATATATATATATATACACATATACATATATATATATATATATATATATACACACACACACACACACACACACTTTAGAGTGACATCAAATTTGAATCAAACACATCTGTAGTTTTGGTGCTATGGGATTACATAATGTTTTGAGGGGTGGCAGATTTTAATTTTGACCCTGTAGAGGATGTGTACTAATACATAGTAATACATATTACTCACTGGGAAATGGAAAAATGAATTGTGTGTCCGCATACATATAGCATTTACAGCCAATAATTACAACTTATAATTTAAATCCTATTTTTAGTTTGTGCATACATTGACTAGTAGTGGGATTTTTCTTCCCTTTAAACTCCCAAATGGATAGCACAGTGGATAACACTACTGCCACAGACAGAAGACTGAGGTTCAATTATCCATTCATTTACTGTACTGACTGACTTTAGATAACACAGTCTTCTAAATAAGGTACAATTTGCATAAAATGAAATGTAAATGTTCACAAGAAATGTCAATGATCCATTCTTATAGTTCTAAACACAAGTCTTACACTCACTGCATTTAAATATGAATTAAAAATGAAAAAAGTCACATTATCAGCCACAATAAGGCGTTAATAATCAGTTTTATTATTGCCCCAGAAATTTCATACAGTTCCATCCCTTGTAATTTATATGTAGCAATGATAGCATAGAATTGAAGTGTGGGACAACATACACATCCTCAACAGTTAAAGGGGTTAAATGATCCTGATTCAGGTGGGACTTTGGGTGAGTTAAGGGTTTCAGAGTCTACTTACCACCTCTTCATCAGACAGCTCTCTGCCCTGGATGCTGCTGCTGTCCCTCACTGCCTGCTGGTGTCTCTTGCCCTTGGTGTGACTGAACAGGTGCACCTCGGAGGTGATCTACAAATGCACAGGTTAAAGGTCACTGACATGGACGCAATTCTAAAGAAGTTCAGCGGCCAGAGAGACACCTATACCTCCAGCATAACGGTGTCAGCTTCACAATGCGTTACCATATTGTTCTCAGTGTCGCACTTCTCAGATAACTCAGACAATTGTTACTACCTCAAGCTCACTTCAAAGTTAAATATGATCCCCAAATCCTGACTGACATCTGCAAAGTAGCATGACACCTTCTAATAAAAGCCAGAACATCAGAACAGGACGCTCATAATGGCTGAAAAATATCCCTAACAATGACAAGTTTTAACTCATGGGCTTTTGAATTCATTTTGAGCCCCAGGCATCGTTCTTTTTCTTAACAACTGGATCGAATACCAACATTTGTGGTTTCAGTGACACCAGCAATCATCACTCTTTGATGGTGGCCTGGTAAGGAAAATAATTCCTCCTAGATTAGAAGAATATAAGCACCAATCAAATTCCAAGACCGGTGGCAAAAACTGTTCTAAGTCAGTGGAGGGATCCTCTACTAAACGCAGCTGCAGGTGTGGGAATGCTTGCGTTGTTTGTGTCCTGGCTTTGGATCAGAGCCCAAGCAGGATGGCCTGTGTTTAATGTCATTAAGTAGAGTGCTTGCCGCTGACCTAAAGATGATCGCTGGAGTCACTGGCTGGCCAAGGTCATCTGACATTTTAACAAGATTTCATTCTCCCCGGGTGCTTAATCTGATGTCCGTTTGAAGCTCCAAGGTGTCTGGCCTTCGTTGCAGTGAAAGCCAGGCCAGCTTCAGATAAAATGTGCCTTCTTGCTGATTTGTTGCCCGTCACTGGAAAAGCATGATCATGTCCAGCCTATAAATCTCCAACCAAAGTTCATGTTTAATTAATGCATTTAAACCCTCATTTAAATGCATTCCCTTCCAAAATCCTCTGAATCACCTTCTACTCAGCAGTTTTCAGGACTCCGGCTGCCAAGACAACAACGGGAGAAAAAGTCCAAGCCAGGAATGTTTAAAACACAAAGTGGGTGCATCCACGTGTAAAGTGATCAAATGCTATTGGGTTTCAATCAGTCAAACAAACAGAGCGGCAAATTAAAGTAAGTCAGTGGCGCTAGTGTAGCGTTCAGAGCAACCTGGCCTGCCAAAGATGCTGTAAATGTGTTACGTAAGTGAAAATTTAATCCTTAAGGCAGGCTATCAGTGGATTTATATATGCAATAAGCTGGGACGGTGTCTCCAAACCCTGTTGTCGGGGACACCCAGACAGTGTACATTTTTGTACTATCCAAGCTTCTAACACCTGAATCAAGCAATCTTGAACACTGAGTATCTAGAACAGCAGTACTGGGAGCTGGAATAAAACAAAAACATGGACCATCAAGAACAATACTGATCTATAGAAAGTGAATCTTACCACAACACTGCAGAGGGAGCACTGCTTCTTGCGTTCGTATGGAGTGAGTTTGGGTGCGTAGTCTGTGTTGGCATGTCTGCCACTGCTCAGCTCAGCAGCCTTTTCCTTCCTCTGCTCAATCTGCTCCATGTGCCTGCGGCTGCTTTCGTCATGCTGCAAAGGAGTGGGTATAAGAGCAAAGAGCAGGCCAAAAGTTAGAACTGGCAACAAACCTTGTATTTGCCAAAGATGCTACAGATAAATAAACAGGACTATTCATTTAACAGATAGGGAAAAAGAATTGCCTTCATTTGGATCTTCTTCTGCAGCTCCTCCATGGCCTCTTGCTGAGCGGCACTGAGGGCAGCCAGACGCTCCTCACGGTCCCTGCAGAAAACACACCCACATACACACATGTACAGATCATATTAAAAGGAAGGATCATATTGAGTCAGTGATACTGCATTGTATACAACACTATACTTTGCATATAAGAGCAGATTTTAAGTTTTAAAATATGATAACTCCCCACTGCACCTCTTAATTACCACCTAACAACTCTTAGCAGAGAGGTTTATAATGATTGAGGATTCTTGAAAACATACACAAATTAACATGTCTTTAACTTTGAGTCTGAAAGTGACAGACTCTGCAAAACAATTTTTGCAAAACTTTTTTCTGTGTTGTACAGATGTGTTCAAAACCAGGCTGACCAATCAGAGCGCTGCCATGTTTGCAGTCCAAACAAATGGCAGAAAAACCACACACGCTGCTTGTGGCAGAGCATAAAAGCTTATACAACAAGTAACAAGCTGATTATAAAATGCAGAGATTAACAGGACCACAGCTGAAAGGATGGAAACAACGGTTAGTACCTTGGTACCACACAGCAACTGTTTATACAGTTGTATGCAAAAGTTGGAATACTCTTGGTCAAATGGCCTGTTTTGTTGATTTACGTCCATTTTTCCACTTAAAAATAAGTGAACACATTCCCTACAAACAACAAACTTCATATGCACCTTTCTGCATATTTTATCGCACAATTTCTATCGATTTGTTGATTTTAATATAGGGGGAAAAAAACAAAACATAAAATTCAAAATTAACCATAACACAGGCCACATTTTATGTTTTACAGTTATTACAGTTACAGCTATATATATATATATATATATATCAGATTTGGTGTGTAGGTTCCACTACATTAAAAAACGCTTTATGTTTTTGGTTGCTTTTTTTTTTTGGTCTGAAAGCATCATACTTGGAGTGAACAGACTTAAACATGGCATTTTTTCAGATCTTTAATATTCAGTCCTCTGCTCCTCAATTACTCCTTGTTTTTTTTGCTGACACAGGTTCCTATCCTGTCCTGTCCTAGAGGGCTGTCCTGGAGGGCTGCCCTAGCTGGCCGTGTGCCGGTGCAGACCTGGCTCTCTCTCGGGCAGCATCCTCCCTTGCCCTCTCCTTCTCCTGCCGCTGCTGCTCAATCCGTGCTTCCTGCTCTCTCCTCTTCATCAGCAGCTCCTCCACGCGCGCCTGTCGCTCTGCCTCTAGAGCCCGCTTACGCTCCTGACAGAGAATGCACAACACATAAACAAGGAAGGAGGTCATCATGACATGTAAGGAAAATGTCTTAAAAAACAAGCAAAAAGATTAGGGGTGAAGAATTTACACATAGATTGGGGGCAGGGGACAAGAGGCAAAAGCATCAAACCTGTACAGCTTCATCTCTGGCCTGTTTCTCTTCCTGCCTCCTCTGCCGCTCCTCTTGCAGTTCATTGAGACGTTGTTCATACTCGTTCAGCTTGGCCAGCACATCATGCCTCTTATTCTGAGCCTCCAGTGTGTTTATGAATGCAATCTCGTTCACCTACAAAAGCCACTCAGATGAACACGGCTGGGCAATATATAAAATATTTTTTTACCCATATTTTCCAATATCAATAATAACATGCACTTATAAGAATTTACTAATGCTCAATTGTAAGTTTCAATAATATAATAAATCCTGAAGAAAATAAAAGACATCGTATTAAAAAAAAATAATTTAAACTGGAACAATCACACCAGTCCCACTTTGAAGAGGACGAGTGGCATTTTTTTGCCACACTCTCCACTTGTCCTGGGATGTTTTCCCTCAAAGTCTACATAAATTCAACACTGAGAAAAGCAAACTAGGCCCATACTGAACTTTTTTTTGGATTTTATTTTCCCCTGAGGTCTACTTATGATGCTTGTGTAGGTCATAAATTAGTTTTTACACAACCATTCTCTAATGTCTCTTTATCCCTTTGAATGAAACAGGTTTTTGTTACTGTGTTTCTAGGACTGATATGTAAATGACCTCTGTTCCGAAAGGCTGTACAGCATTACACCTCCTTCAAAAAGCTAGCCAGGCAGAAACAGTGCGTATAAGTTCAGCATAATTAGGCTGAATAGATGAGGTATGTAAACGCGTTGGTTTTCATGACCACACAAAAATAATGGATTCAAAACAGGCTGTTTCTGCAGCTTAGTTTCCATAAATGGATTGTATGGATTGGGGAATGAATGATACATTTTAAAACTTTAACAGTGTTTACATACTACTATACATCAAACTCTTGTTTCAAAAAGTGTGGAAAATTCTGTTTTTTCTGTGATTTTTTAGAACATGATGAAAAATATTACATATACTGACTAGATACAAGATGTTTTCTTTTCCTAAGTTGTCATTTTTTGCAATGCACTGGTTCAGAGTGGCTAGCTAAACTTTCTTCCACCCCGTCTAGTGAATAAAATGCACACATCAGCTGCTGTACCAAAGTAGCAACTGTTCAAAGTTCAAGGCTCTGCTGCGAACTCCATATTAAGGAAGAGAATGGCATAATCATTTAGGCAAAAACACCTCAAAGTAATAATAGTCACTATTATTTTATCAGCCAGGCATTCAGATCAGCTTGTAGCCTAAGCCTGTGGCTTCGCTGTGCCGTCCTCACCTTTGCCTCCTCTTCTTGAGCCTTTTTCACGATGGCCTGAAGCTGCAGCTCCCGCTTGAACTCAGCATGGAGCAGCTTCTCCTCCATCATCCTCCTCCTCTGATCTAGTAGCTCCTCTTTCCACTTCCTCACCTCCTTCTCCTGAGGGAGAGAGAGAGAGAGAGCAACAACAGCGCTGAACACAGATCATATACTGCAAAAACAACTCCCCCCTTGCCCCAGCCCTTTCAGCCATGCCAATGTCCCTCAATCATCACATCCTTATGTTCTTAACACCTGCTCGCTAAAGAGCATATCACATGTTAATATTCACCTTCAAGCATGGGTGTATAAATATACAAGGCTGTTTTAAGTTTCCTTCATCTCATATAGAATGGAAGGAACAAAAACAAACCAGCCTCAGAGTAGCTGGTGAAAGTGATGTCGCCGTCATGTACTTGTTTGACATAATGGCTTCACCACCCTGTTTAGCTAAATCAGCTAAGCAAGGATGTTAAGTGGATTGCTGCTTCTGACAGTATCATCGCTTCGTTCCCAAATGGCTTCAGACAAGATGTGGTTAGTTTCTGGCCATTAGGACTCACTCGCTCTAAAAGTTTCTGCAGTTTGTGGGTCTTCTCCTCTCTCAGCTTGTCTCGCAGCTGCTGAGCTTTCAGCTGCTTCTCTTCGTGTTTCTTCTTTGACTCAGCTATGGTTCTGTTGACAAACAAAAGTCACATTCATCACTCCCTCTGACTGGCTACTCAAAACATCTTAAAATAGCAGCCTAGTGAATAATAATTCAATAATTAAAGAAAGAAAAATATATATTTTTTTTGCTATTAGAAGATGGTTGAAAATGAACTCCAGAAGATGCTGCTTTAAGAAGTTCCAGTTAAAGAGTCTAATTTTCAGAGCAGCGCAACTCAATCAGGTATTACATCAAAACTTTCCCTATCCCTACATATAATCTAATCAAAGCATTACTTCTGCTTAAAGGAAACATACTTTACCGTTTTCCCAATTTAATATAGATCGCTTAATTTTGAAAGACAAGTGTGAACAGTATAAAACAAAGAACATCATAATTCAGTCTTTGTTTGAGCGGTAAATTATTTCTCTGTGAAAACCTGATCATTGTCTGAGTGTTGATGTTGTATATTATTGACCACTGATCTCAGTGGACATCTCAGTGAAGAGGCTGTGTGAATGTTCACATTTTATAGCAGCTCTCTACATTAAAAACAGACATTTGAAGCTTATGACAGACATTTATGTAACATTCTTTACTTTAGATGTTACAATCTGAATGTTAACTCCTTCAGTAAATATTTAACTCAAAACCTATAACTGAATATTAGAATGAATATTACTGGACACTGTTATCTTAGCTACTTGCCCATCTTACTCTAGTGAGGACAGAAAATTAGTACACAGGGAACCTGTTGACATAAATAAAACAGAGTCTGCTGAATCAGTCATCCAACACAGAGGTTTAACGTTAACGATATGTGACATCATTATTTTACAATGTCCTGGCTGTCAGAGACATTCATGTGAAATGGTAGGCGTATTTGTTCGACTTGGGGCAGGATGCTCCATGAGAACCAAGCAGTAAATCCTAACCTGCAGAATCATGTTTTCTGTAAGAGAGAAATTTGCCAAAAGGAGAGAGACTTCACATTTCACAACTTTTCGGATGGTAGATGTGACAAGTAACATATATGTAAGATGGCAAGGAAATTGTCATTTTGTTTACTTGGTCTCATTTAACAAACTGACTTCTTCCTCTTGCTCTTGAGCCACTGCACTAGCTACAATGAATGTTACAGAAACCTCCTTTTTACATGAAAGCATAGAATAAAATCATGGTTATTTAAAAATAGGTTCATGATGGACTGCGGTACCTTTTGCGGGATGGTGAGGAGAGTTTCTCATGCATATGGATGCCGTGGCCAGGGGGCCGAGCTGGCTCCTCCTCCACTATGTCTCCCCACGAAGTGCTCTGACGCCAGGGCTCTCGCGCTGCACGTAACCGTAACAGTGGTAAAAACAAAGTCAAAACACACTTGCATGCAGTCACACATGAATGACTGATTTCAGGACAGTACGTACCATCATAGTCAGCCAGCATGTCACTCCAGTCTAGATTGAGTCCACAACCTCCACTCCCGATGCTCGCCTACAGGACAAAGAGAACAAAATATCAGTGAAGACTTTTGAGGTCACTGTTTAAAACTGCAGTGTTTTCCAAAAACAAACTGCAAAAAACAACTCCTGTCTCAAAACCTAGCTTTAACATTAAGAACATTTTATTTTTCCTTCCTCCTGTAATGTGCGCCAAAGGGGAATTCCACCATTTACATTTCTTTATAATTAAATTGTTAATTCATAAATAAAGACACTCAGAGTGGTTTATTGTGAAGTGCTCTGTTCTAGAGAGACTGAGTCAGAATTAGTCACAGCAGCAGTGACATGAATCAGATGTCTGATTTAATGCCTCTAAAAGTTTCCTCAGACACTGTTTTACAACAGTTTTGTGTTAAGGTTTTCACTTAAAACTCTTATCCATTCTTGGCAGAGAATAACATGCAGGGTGTTGTAAGGCAAAATCCTGGTCCCCAAAGAGAATTTTTACCATCAACAACATTCTAAAATCTCAGAAGAAACATGTAGGTTCACTGGTTGTTTTGGATAGTAAATGGCTATATTTGCATTGGTTCCCATCATCGCCACTGTGAAGAAAATACTTCTCTCTGAAACAAACTGTTCAGAATCAAAGCACTCTGAATGAATGTTTATTATGTAGAATGAAAAATTTGTGGAATTCCCCTTTAATGTAGAATTGTAAAGAAAAGAAAAAAACGGTTTTCACATTACATTGAACACTGAAAACTGTGTATTCAGCGAAACACAATGGTTCTCTTACAGAGAAGTCGCTCTCGTTGTCCGTCTCCAGTTCGTTGTTCTCTGCCTGGATCTCTCGGGTCAGCTGCTCTTCCTCAGCAATGGCGCTGGCGATGGCCTCCTCATTAGCTTTTTCCAGCCGGTCAGCCAGCTCCTCCTTCTTAGCCAGGACCTCAGCCATGGACTGGGGCTGAAGACAGGCCACAAACACACAGTCAGTCACTCACAAACCCGCCACATCAGGCTCAGCCGCAAGCAGCACAAGCTCTCCAACTAGGAAGAACACTAGAATGGTGCCAAGCTGCCCACACCAAGCCTCTCAAAGCATGCCACAAGCGCAAATACTCTCAGACTGACGCATGGTGTAAGCAACTTTCTACTGCCTCTGAATTTAAGCCATGTGATGATGTATTCTGAAAGATCAATATCATATGCTAATCATTTGGTTTTAGAAAGTCAATATTTTATTTGAGCAGTATAAAATAAAAAGTTACTGAACTGAATATGTTTACCAAGTGCAAAAATGAAAAAAAAGTCAAAACTCGGGCACAATCCATAAACACACATCAATCACAAAAACCACACATGGGGAAGCATATCAAAGTCATGCAGTACACGTCCACTATGAAGATGAGGAGATGAAGGACAGAGGTCCTACCATGCAAGCACTCACTGCTCAGTCTTTACAAATGACATTTCTTACAAGCAGTCATGTTGCCACCTGCAACCTGTGAACTTCATCGAAATGGTGTCAGTTTGGAAAAGAGTAATGCCACATCACTGGGTCTATTTACAGTAGTTTGATGTATTTTGGTTTGAGGCATTAAAGCAGCTTTTGCACCTGTGAGTCTGCATAGCTCTTGATGAGTAGCAAATCACTGAAATATTTTGAAAAAGAATCCCGGCTCCTACCATTACAGACCACAGCACTTGACCCTGGTGTCTTTTAAACTGGCGAGTGAGCAGTATGCCAAGTGTCAGTTTCAGAGGAACCGTACAGGAGGACAGAGACCAAGCAGCGCTGGAACCGGTGCGACACTTCATCCTAATGAGCATAACGAGAGAGAGATTTCTCTCAACACCGCGCCTGTTAGTCTCGAGCAGGAGTCTAAACAGAGCTGGGCTTATCTCAGCCACCCATTGAGGTGGTGTCTGGACCTCTGTAGCAGTAAAGCCAGGTTCCTATATGATCTGGGCTTAGATAGCACTCCCCCCAAGGCCATTTATGCTCCATCCATCTCTATAGTTTCAGACAGGCTTTGGTGTGCTGTTGAGAAATGGATGACAGTAGCTCAGGCAGAGAGGAGGGAGGCTTTAGCCTTAATTAACCCCTGAGAGGTTATACGTGCCAGAAATGGAAGACAGGGGCCAACGGGAGAAAGCCATGTCAAAGAAAGGTGCGATTTCACAGCAAATACTACTGACTGAACACATGCCTGTAGGTGGAGAGAACTGAGCAGTCAACTGGATTAGGATAAATAGGCACTAATAAGGACAACCTTAGTTCAGTAAGAGTAAAATGATCACGATGTATGTATGTATGTATGTATGTATGTACTTAGCAAACAATCCTCATCTGACGGGGGGTAATTTAACATTTGTTAAGCACTCTATAGTCTTATTCAAAGTGGATCATTTTTACCTGGTGAGGTACTACAGTAAAAACACATGGGGAACCCTTAAGGCTTTCTTAGCCTTCTGTGAAAAATGTCTGTGATTAAAAAAGTTGCTGTAATTCTCTGGTTAAGTTTTGGTTGGAAACTGAAGTTTTTTCTCTGCAGCAACCAGGCAGACACAGCCAAGCAAGCTCTCCCACTGGTTAGCACTTCAGGAACTATAGAAGTGTCAGATTAACCACTAACATAACTAGTGACATTGAAATCAATCAGTCACAGTTCAACTTACAATGGGTGGGACTGACTGCAATAAAAAAAAACATCACTGTTGGCTTTCTGGAAGCCCTAGGTATGTCATTGGCTGAATAAGAGCGGTAGCCGTACCAGTATGTGTCAGTCAGATGGAAAACAGTGGCAGCTCTTACAGTCACGGTTCACCACTGAAATTAAGTGACCAGACCTGTGATATTTATTCAGTATCTGTTATCAATCCAGAATTTGCAGAAATTTAGGTCTGATGGCAATAATTCTGGAACAACTAACCATCTATAATTCATTGAACTATGAGCTTCCACAGTAACAATCTGAGCTGACCTCAGAGTAATATTAAAAAAAGGCTGACACAGACATGTACTGGGTTGTTTGTGTTAATTAGTCTATCATGTAACACTGATGTGTACATTCAGGTTATAACTTCTCCATTCAGGCTATCTATGGCAATTTGGAGAAATTACAGACACTGTATATGGTACAAACTGGCCACTCAAATCCATTACAAATGACACTAGAAAACATTCCCTGGTATAATAAATCCAACTAAAACAGTGCTTATGATAGATGAAACTTATTCAGCAGTATCTGTTAAACGTAGAATATTTAAGTATTCGATAGCAGTTCAAAAGGCCCAGGGGGCGGGTGATTCAGCAATTTCACAGTACTTTACATTTTCCCGATACTCAATATGCATCATGATATTCAGTTTTTTTCTGGGGTCTGATAAATTTGAACAGAAAAAAAAATCCCAATAATGACATTTATAAAATATCAGTACAGCAATTCTGATTCAAGTTTTCACAGACTGCACTATAGTTAAACAAGGCTCATCATGCTCTCCTTGTAGCGTACTGACATTATCCACTACATGCTCAGAAAAGTGATGTAACTGATCACAGTAACGATAAATGTCAGCATACTGCTCACCTCTAAGATGAAGTCAGCTCCAAAGAGGAGTCTGAAACTTCAGTTTGTTCAGGAGAATGTGAAATCAGCACCACTACACTAAAATCCAACAACCCAAGCACTAACAGCTGTCTTTAAGTGCATGGCACCGCTGCACTCCAAAAGACACATAAGAGCCCTCCACTGCCACTCATGTACAGATATATACTACTCTGCGTATGGACAGTTTGGTATGGGGGGGGTACTGCTGCGGCTAGAGGTTTTTGGGATTGACGTTGTTTAGGCGGGAGCTGTGACCCCGGCCTGTGTCTCTCAGCACTCACGGTGGAAAACTCTGTGGGGTCCAGCATGCTCTCCAGTTTCACCGCTGCCAGGGGAATATAGGCTGCCGCTGTTGCTGCTGCTGCTCCTTCGGCAGCAGATGGTGCCGTGACCTGCCACGTTGCCCCCACACCCGCCTGTTCCTGCTCCTCTCCACCAGCCAGTCCAGCACCAGCCTCCTCCAACTGGGAACATGACAGAGGATCTGGAGCTGGAGCTAGAGGTTGAGGTTGAGGTTGGGGCGAAGATGGGGCTGGAGGGGATTCGGACACAAGGGGTGGCACACAGTCGGAGGTAGAACTGACAGACTGCCCAGGCTCTTGATCACTGTCTGATGGAGGCTGCATTAACACACACACACACACATACACACTTACACACAATCACAAACATGCATCTTCTTTAGGGCTAGCTCGAACTGCATTTCAAATAATTAGAAATAAACTGTGGGTTTCTGAACACATATTCGAATACTTGTTCTCAATACTCTCCTTAAAACAATAATATTAACATTTCATAGTAGGTCACAACTAGGTAAGCTAGTTTTTTTTTAATTAGTAATAAACTTTCACATCCCTATTTCACAAATAACATCCTATCAATGACGAGCGACTGTTCAGATGTGCTGTAACGTAAATGGTGTCTGACTTGATTTTTGCTTACCTAGACAGCAGCAATGAAACAGATGTTAGTTCAAGACCTAAATCATGTAACATCTTTGTTCTGCAATGTGTTTTCATAGTCAGTTTGGCTGATTTACTGAATGGATAGCCAAGTTCATGTTCCACTCATAGCTTAATGGCCCAAGATCAAATTCCATTGCCAGTGAAATAACTTTGATAGGCAAAAAATAAATCTCGGTCAGGATTATAGACTTGGCAAGTTATTTTAATATTTTATGAAAAATTTGTATATATTTATGGCTATTCATATCTGATAGGAATCAGATTAACTGTTTAGCTAGCCTGCTATCTCAGTTGCTTGTGTACCCACTGAGAGACAGAGAGACACTTAGTTTCTTCTCCTGAATGTCATTCAACAGTTAAAATTACAGTCAAACAAATTAACGTGTTTGTTTAATTCTCTTTCATAAATGTTGTTTGCCATTTTAATCTCTTTCACTGATTTTAAATAAATAAAATGTTTTATTCAAAACAGTGATAAATAAGCCTCTAACTCTGAAAATCATCAGGAACAGACAAACATGTTCTAGAAGTCTGGCAGAGTACAAAACGTCAAAGCTTCTGAATACTAAAGTATGAAGCAAATAACAACATAACCAACAAATATGCAAGTATTCAAATTATTCGAACCAGCCCTAATCTTTTCAGCAAGGACCTAACACACACTCACCACATCAAACATCCAGCTGAGGAAACACAACATGCTGGAAGATAATGCAATAACATGCCAAACACATCAACAACAGCAGCAGCGCAAAACCACAAAACATGCAAAACAGTAATTGCATTCTTGCAACAAATCTATCAATACAACTAACACACCCCAAAGAAGATGTCTACCCTTAAGTGCACTGTAGACCATAGGATCTATACATATTTCATAAGACCTCATATGATATTTCTGACTCAGTAGTCTCACTACATATGCACAAAATCAATGCATGCCCAACTGATATGGCCCTGTCTGGACTGTGGGTCTATGAATATACCCCAAAACACAAACAGCGAGGGCAGATAAAACACTATAACATTACAGAGCCCTCAAGTCTCCCCTGCACTCCTGAATTATTGATGTACGGGGGGCTGCTAGTTGACGTCAGTACCTCAATGACGGAAGCCTTCTCACACTCTGGTTTTTGCTCTGGGGAGGCGAGCTCGTCGTATCCCCCCTGCTCCCCTGGCCCCTGAGCCTTCTCCTGGGGAGAGGCTTGGAGCTCCTGGTTCTCCTTATTGTTGACATCTTTGGGACTGACGTGGGCCAGGACAGGGCTGACCTTGGCTACCATGGCGATAGAACGAGGTCTCATTGAGCGTCCACGTTGTACCGTCTCCCAGCCCTCGGCATCTTTTTTTCCTATGAGAAGACACAAGAGACAAGTATTAAAACAAACAAAAAAAAAAACCTTTTTTGCCAGCTGTAGCTGTCTGTATCGTTTAGGAAAAATCTGAAATTTTTTTTTTTCACTTGTTTTCAAAGCTCTAGTTGGCCGAGCACATGCATAATTCACAGAATGTTTGTCTGTTAACGTTCCAGCTTACGATCTTAGATCCACAGATACTGGCCTATCGTGAAATACAGAAAGACATAGGGAGGTCTTTTTGTCATTACTAGAAAAACATTTCACCTTCTATTAGGCAATCAAAAGCAGTAGATAATTTTAAGAATCATTTGAAAAGGTATTTCTTTAATTTAGCTTTTAATTCTACTTCTCTTTTTGTATTTTTCTTTTTAATTTATTTTAATGTAATAAATTAATCTTTAATTAATCCTTTAATTACATGGCTAATTGTTATTGTGTTAGATGATTTGAATTACTACTCTTAACTCACTCTTAACAAATACTGTTACCAGACAGAACTACAATTTCTCCTATCACCTTGTGTAAAGTACTGTGAGCTCCCACCAGCATGAAAGTGGTTTGTAAATTATTTTTTATTTATAAAGTTTATTATTATTTATTAATGTTATTATTATCAATCACTGACAAAGTCTTTACCACAAAACGAAGTTCTAGCAAATTAAATTAAACTTCTAAAATAAGTAACAAACTATGAAACACACAATGCAATAGCACAGTTTGCTTTCAGATCATGCTTAGCAGCTTTTCCCCTGTAGAGAGAAAACATTCTTGCAGGGTTGCAACAACTATTCAGCAGAGTTGATGAATCATTAAGGTAACTGATTAACAAAAAAGTCATTGAACTGTTTAATTAAAAACAAGAGAGCTCCATGATTTACCATAATGTTCATATGATACACATAGTCAGTCAGACTGCACTGTGTTGGGGGTAACATGGCTTCTACAGTTACCATAAAGGAAGAAATTGCTTGTTGCAGAAGTTCATACAAGGTCAGCACTGTGACAGGGACAAAGTGAGAGCAAAGTGACTTCATTTAGGTGATGAATCAATCACCAGTAGATTAATCATCTATGACACAATTGTTAGTTGAAGCCCTACACTGTTATGCATAATGTTATGTGACTTGCAGCTCACCAGGTTTCTCTGTGGGGCCTGGAACATTCTGGCTTGGCACAGGCAGAGCCTGAGAGAACTTCACCCGGTCAGCCCAGCTGGGGCCAGAGTGGGAGAGACGCGCTACTGCAAGTGTTGGAGGAGGACCCCTGAAGAACACACGTGAGCGCGCACACACACAGACAGGCAGATAGGCAATCAGACAGACATAATTTGAAAATACCAGCTGCCATTTACACTCCATCAAAATGTCATGGCGAATGGATTAACAGAAATGGTCCAAAATGACTGAGTAAATTCTTATTACATTAACTTTCAATGTAAGTTAAAACAATTCCTTTTCCAGAAAAGTCACATTTTTGGAGAAGTAACTTCGTTGTTTCGACAGCAATATTATACATACTTACAGTGTTCTGCAAAAGTCAGAGATTCTAGTCAAAAATGGCCATTATGTCAAGTTATTCATTTGTTAGCAGATATTTCAGAGGAGATTAGATGTAAGACAATCCACTTGCATAAGGAAGGCCACAGTCAAAGAAAAATGTGTGTAAAAAACGACTCTTTCAAACCCAACAACAAAAAACTTTCCAGGAAAATTCTTAAAAGATTCAGAGAAAAAGGCCCCAAATTCTGGTAGTCCACCAAAACTGTCACCATAAATAAACAGTATTTAAGTCTTTCATCTTTGAGATTAAAATCAAGCTCCACTCTTACTACAGATCTGAAAAAATCCACAGGTGTTTGTCCATCGTTCCACTGTGCGAAGACAAATCAACACTGAGTCTGAAAAGAATGAGTATTTTCTTTTTTCAGTAACATCTTGTTGACATCTAAACAAGAAAGAAGGAAATTCGAAAATCAAATAAGGAAGCTGCTGGTGTTCTCAGAACAATGGACCAACCACCTCAGAGTTAAGACCTCAACATCACTGAATGTGTTTAGGATTAGTTGGATCATAAGTAGAAAATATCTCTACAGATTTCTCTGTAAAATATATATTTTTTGTTTTTTTTCCCCTGATGCTGTAAAATGAATTATTTGTACTTAATGGCTGTTTTGACTGGAAATTAAGTCAATGAAGGGTGTTCTTTTGCATAGTACTGTGTATACAAAACACAGTTTGGCAACAACCTTCTGGAACAAAAGAACTGATGAATTTAGGACACCACTGTTGGTTTCAGTATATTACAATAAGTTCATCAGAACAATTATAGGGCTGAGAGAAAGAACTGGTCTGGTACTCTGTCCCTAGACCAGCCAACACTAACACTAGCACATTAGCCACTTTGAGCATCCTGCATCAGAGCGGATGGAGGATCCAGACAGCAGCTCCCAGGTCAGCCTGACAGCCCCTCAGCCTGATCAATATCCATTTCCTGCAGCATCCGATTACAGTGTAATGTAGGTATTGAACTCAGCAGTCTTCAACCACACTCATATCTGCGCTGCCACTGTCTCTGGAAGCAGCCATGGAAAAACCCGGCAAAAATTGCATTAAACAAACGCTTGGGCTTCACAGATCGATCTCGCAGCCCTTCCAGACAATGGACATCTTCTCTCCAGCCTCAGACCAGGCCTCTCTATGTATCATATCTTCCATTGATTTCTTAATTTGGCCATTCAGAGCCCTTTTAATTGAATTAGTAACCGTCTTCCTTTTACACTACCAGTAAAAAAAAAATGAAAAAAATAAAACATACTAATGGAGGGAGACAAATATCAAGCGTTAATGTAGGAAGTGGAGTTTCCCCACATCAAGCATTAGGCATTGTTTGCTAACTGAGAACACAGTTTCAATTAGTGGGAAGTAAGATGGGATAATGGCTTGTGGCTAAACTCTATAAGTGGCCTTGATTGTGGAGAGGAAAAAAAACATTGATTTGAGCTCTACTCAATACAAGTGGTCAGCTAACTACAGTGAGCAGTGCTGGATATGCATACCCAAAGTTAAGGGAGCGGCGAACACTGGGAGATGGAACGATTCGGTCTGTTGAAGGACTGGGCATGACATGGCGTCCTGGTGACATCTTGCGAACCTCCCAAGCCAAAGAGGTGGGCCTGCAAGGACAAAATGCACATAAGTAATCAGACAACATTCATAAACATAACAAAAAAAAATAGTCATAAAACCTGTCTTTGCCAAAATGTCTTCCATTTGCTTTATAGCTACTTAAAATCTATGTAGTGGCGATTTTTCACATCCCAGTAAAGTGTAAATTACACCTTACACTGGGATGCAAAAAAAAACAAAAAAAACAAAACAAGAGTGCATGGAAAGGTTGACTAATCAATAAATAGCCTGTGCTAAACCGCTGAAACTGGGAGGTGACTTAAAAGCTCAGGTTTATACCTTAATCAATGTACGTGTGTTGTGGTAATTCAGCCATTTGGTTAAAGAGAAACCAATAAACTGCTGGATCGCCTTGAATTACAGCTCTTCCTATTGATCCGGTCTAAGACACTACAACTAGAGCATGAGTGTGAAAGAGTCACCAATGTGTGTGTGTGTGCATGTATGCGTATGTATCACCTGTTTTGGGCATCAGTTTTCTCCAGCTTCTCCTGTAGCTGGATCCAGTCGATGAGAGCTTTAAAGTCCCGTACATAGTTGTCCAACATCATCAGCACCTCCTGGAATAAAGCATGTGTCAGACATGAGTGCTTCAGTGAAAGACATAATGGCAGATGATTCAGTTTCATTTATGCAAAGGTCAAGGAATAACTTGGCTTCAAGTTACAGGAGAAATAGTGCACTGATAGTGGAGAAACAATCATGGTTGAGACTCATGGTCATCTACACATTAGTCAGCGCTTTAGAAATTGTTTAGAACCCAGCTCCAGTCCTGGAGGGGTAAACCAGCACAGTGTGGTGGTTTACCTCTAAAACACTTTCTAAATCTTGTCATATTACAGAAACATCCCTACTCTGAAGTTTTATCTTGTCTGTTTAGTCACCAGGACAACTTCAGTTAGGGCTAAATGATGACAGTAGCCATCACAGAATAACATTTCCTAAATTCATAATGTTATTCTAACTGTGGACAAGACAAGAGTACTACAGAAACATCCAGATTTGACGTCCTCCATACTATCCTAACTTTAGCCAACGTACAAACCACGTTTTTCCTAATGAACAGCGACATGTTCAACTTTGTCTCATCATTATTCACTGCAATGACTGCAGTATTTTATTTGCCAGAATTTCATAGACATGATTTTTTAAATCGCAGATTTCCAAAAAAAACATCACCCTCACAAGTGAAACTGACATTTTGCAATTTGAATTTATGTGAACTTTTGTTCCCTTCACAGATGCCTAAATTTTCAATAGAATGGATAATGGTAGAAACAGAAGGTTAAAGCAGAGGTTATGACACTTTGTTATCCTAAAACAAGGGGAGAACAGAATAAAAGAACAAAAAAACAACTTTCTTAAAATTCTTCAAACTTCCAGTTCATTGCACTTCAGCTTTCCGTTTTCACAGCAGTAGTGGTCTAGCTAACCGACTTTCAGCTGTGTTTAGGTACTGTTGGATTTCCTAAGTTGAGATAAGTTGCTGTAAGACAAGATATAATTCCTAGAATTACAATTTGCTAATATGAATTTGTGGCGAATCTTAGATCTTAATTTAGGATTAAAAGATAGGAAGTTACAGTAATACCAACTGATGAGCTGAATCAGGTGTGTTCGAAAAAGTTAAATCACATGATCAAACTGTGCTCGACAGTGGGTCTCCAGGACTGGAACTGGGTGCTCCTGACTGAGAGACCAAGACTCATTCTGAAACTACCAAAAAATACATAATATCAAAGAACAATGGCTTTCATGCCTCACCACCCCTCACCTCCCTGCCCCAGGTAAAGTTGAGCTTAGGCTGTTGTGGGACATAAGAACAAATCTATCCTTCTGGTCTGAAAGTCCTTTTACTTCAGCCAGTCTGGAGGGATAGGGCACTCAGATCTCACTGGAGCCTCAGTGGAGCTCTTGCTCCCCAGGCCTAGACAGGGGCTCCCGTAACCCTAAACCTCTGCTCCACCTCCTCCAGCTCCTGCATACAACAAGGCCTGGGCATTGGGGCACGGTCAAAGGCACTGGAGAACAGCTCACATCTCAACTACAGTCAGGGAACCCCTCCATTCACAAAGGACAAGAGGGGACAAAAGAAAGGGAGGGGAAAAAAGAAAAAGTCCACCACCACTCTTCCCTGCCTCACTGGTCTCCCACAAGAGGTGCGGCTGAAATTACCAATTAGTTTAGCAAAAACGGGGTTGGCAAATCTGATTGGGGCTCTAATCATTTCTAGTTACTGGCAACAGGAGCGAGGCGGATGACGGCATCTCATTGTCTGTGCGACATTCAATCCGCGAGAGGGAGGGTGACTCTGGGGAATCCCTGAGCCCACACAAAGCCCCCCACAGCAAGAATTGGGCATGGAGTCCTGCTCCAGCACTGATTACCAGAGACCTTCAACCCAGGCTGAGCGCAAGAGCCTTCCTCTATGCAACCTTCCACCTAGCCTATGCTGTAAACAAAAAGAATAATCCACTAAAATAGTTCAAACAAAAAATAGGACATTCTGTATATTTTCCTTCTAAAAACAGGACAGAAAACATCTAATTAATGAAGTCTAGTATCTTATGTCTAATATTTAAACCAAAACAGAGCAAAAAAAATTTTGCTAGAGAAATCTCCATCATTTCAAACCAAAGACAAAAGAGTCACAACACTTTCTTTCAGCATTTGCCTCCATGTTGCCTGCACAAGTTATCAGCTGTGGTTTATAAAGCATTCACCTGCTTTAACAAAAACTATTCGATATTCACAGCTAACATCAAATTATGTTTGATGCGGCACAGACAGACAGACAGACAGACAGACAGACAGACAGACAGAATCCTGCCACTCCAGGTTTTGAAGCCACCCCTCACTCCAATCTGACACCAGTCTAATGTCATCATGCAGAAAGAATATAAAATAGTCACAGTGCAAGTTTGCTCTGAGTGCGTTGGTTGATTAAATCTGTACTTAACATTATTATATAGTTTCAACAGCATTAACAGCATATTTGAATGTTTCACCATTGCGAAAAAGCTACTAGGTACCCTCTCTTATAATAGCAGTGCATTTATCTGCAAGTGAGGTGACAGTTAAACAGAACGCAACATTTGCATTAAAAAAAGTATTTTTATCCTGAAGCATTCTGCAATAAAAATACTGCACAGGTCAATATCATTACTACTAACAGAGGATATATTGTGCAGCTCTACTGCAACGCCTAACACGAATCCTCCTGGCCATACAGAGAAGCTAACCAACAATTATAAACAGGCTTCTAGGACTAGTCTAGTCCTGCCCTATAAGAAGAATGTTAAACATAGAGTTAAACATAGACTATTCAGTGAAATGGATTTTTAACCCAGGACTAAGCCTAACTTTAATCCCCATCTGAGAAGGAGTCTCGTGAAGTGTTAACAGAGAAGCTGCACAGGTGAGTGGCAACAGGCGCTCAGGCCATGATGAGCCTGCTGATCTGAATACACAGTGAGGCAAGCAGGCAGGATGAGGGCAGAGATGCTGTGAAACAGATGTGTGAAAGATTGATGGGTGGGCTGGAGGGAGGGGTAATTGAGAGGAAAGCTCCACAGTGCATTTAGTTAATAGAGGAGTCAGGCCAGTGAAAGATGTGTCCAGCAGGAGCCTGCTGATTGGAGCTGGTTAACAGCATACAGGCTAGCAGCGAACACACTTACAGAAACCAGTTAACAACGTCACAAATATGACTGATAGAAATGGTACAAAAGGCTTCACAAGATGGGACAAGCAATTTTAATTTTAATACTGTACAGCACATTTTATACTTTAAATATTTTATATTTTATTTAATATTTCATGTATTTTACTTTTTCCTGTAATATGCAGAAAAATGTCACATTTAAGTTTGTTTTCTTGTAGAGGATGTGTTAATTCATTTTCACTTTAAAATTCAAAAAAACACACTATTTGACTGTGTCTTAAAACTTCTGCATACAACTATATATGTATTGTTACACCCTTACTTTTCAGGCAGGTTTGTGTCAACCACCTTGCCACGTACAGCATTAAAACCAAGATACTAAGTCTATATTCGTGTAGAAGTTTCTGCATTTTTGTTTCTGTCTCCCACCTCAATATGCATAAACACACACACACACACACACACACACACACACACACACACAGACACACACAGACACACACAGAGAGAGAGAGAGAGAGAGAGAGAGAGAGAGAGAGAGAGAGAGAGAGAGAGAGAGAGACAGACAGACAGAGAGAGAGAGAGAGAGAGAGAGACAGAGAGAGAGAGAGGGATGAAGAAGCACTGTCCTCACCACAGGCTCTGGGGATATAAATCAGAGCTTGGAATGGACGAAAGGTCTGATAAGAACTAATTAGGCCTCTGGGCTGTAGGTTAAAGATGTGGGTGTTATTAGAATATGAGCATAAATCAGCCAGCTGGGCCAATCAGGCCCCGGAGTGTGGGAGAATACAGTGCTGGCTGAGGATCAGCGCTCTCTACAGAGACACAATGGTGAGCCAAGTGGATTAACTAACTGTACTAACACTGTACTGCAACACATGCTGTCCAGCTCCCCGATGCCTTCATTCTGCAAAAGGAATACAGATGGTATCCCCATATTTTAAAGCTCAGAAGCACTTTTAAATAATTATGATGATGGTGATAACTGTGCTGATGATAGCTGCACACTTTCTACCAGATGTGTGTTTGTTGTCTTGCATTTCTATATTGCTACAGCAAATGTAAATAAACCATAGTGATAGTTGAGAAAAAGATGCATTAAAAAGGTTGACTTGCAATTACAGAAATTATGTTTTTTCCCCCTAGGACTGTTAAACAATTAAAATTTCTAAGTTCTTTTGTGTAGTTAATTTGTCTTACTTGCTCAAATTTGACAGAATTGTTTTCCATTTAAAAAGCAGTGCATTTTGTAACGGCTCTATGAATGGACAAAACAGCCTTCAGTATTTTTTTCAATAATTCAGTAACATTAGGTTAATGTGAACTGAACATGAGAATCACAAACCACATCACTGACATCAAGTAAGAGCAACAGCAGCTGCTTGTTCCGGCTTCTCTGCAATTGTAGCCCTCTCGCACTCATACTGCTATACTACGTCTTATTTCAAAGGGAACTGTCCACTGCACTGTTTTTTTTTCTCTCCCATGAGCACGGGCCAGCATAGTCTACCGAGTTACTGGTACTGTGCATCAGTGATGCATTTTGCTTGTAAATGACACTTCTGACTCAACATGCTTCTGTGAAAACAATTCATGGCATGACAGCAGCAGGAATTAACTTCTATCAAGAGAATCATTAATGGAAGTTGCCATTTCCCGTAAACTTATAAGTAGGAAACAGGCAATCTACACACTCATACTCTCAAAATTATCTTCCAGTAGCAAGATAAAATATTTTAATTCAGAATAAATAGCATAGGCAGCCGACTCAGGACTTACTGTTGAGAATTAATGGCAAATTTATTTTCACAAAGAGCAACATTTCCGCTTTCTGGCTTGGCAGTCTGTTCCTCTTCTTGTTCAAGATATTTGAAGCCACGCTAAACAATCTTTCACTGACCATACATGTGCAAGGCACAGAGAGGTAAACTCAACTGACTTAAGTAACAGTATCAAAGGCCTTTACTGCTCTGCCAGTAATTCAGTGTCTGAGCACCAGAGCTAGGCAATTGATCAGATGTTATTTTCAATTCCAATTTTGGTTTCCTTTCGCAATCATGTTCTCATTTTGTCTCCTGACATAAATCCAGCACACCCCTTTCCTTAACAGCAGTGTGCTTTTGCCCCTCTCTAAGAGCCCAAACTCTTCTGATTTATTTTGGTCTAATTTATTTTAAAATGTATTATTTTTTATATATTATTAGCAGTTTTCAGTAGATTGTTGAAGTGCACAACAACATAGTCACTTATTTCTTTTGCTCTTATGTTTATATGTGTGTATACATATATGTACACACACATACACATTAAAAATATATATTATATTTTATTTTTTACATTTATTTTCTTATGTTTGTCAGTTGAATTATATTTGAAGTTAAAAGAAATTCACTGTTAAAACGACGAGTGCTTCTAAAAATAAGTGCATGATATTCAAAGAAAGTCAAAGAGTAATCGTGCTAAATAATTAGGATCTCAGTACTGACCAAAATAATCGTCATCCTGAATTTTGCCATTATTGAGTCTCTCTCGTGTGCTCCACTGAATTGCTGCCTCTAGTACTTACACACTTCACATTTCAGTATTTTAGTGTAAATGAGGAATACACTTGTCTCCACTGTTTGGTAGCTTATTGGTATTGTGTTATCAGTCTTTGCTAGTTCTGCTAGCTTCTGATACCCACTGTACTCTGTTAGATGATGTACTCTAAAGTGTTGTATCTGGTTCATGGTGTTAAAACAGTGTTTTACACGTTGGTGAGAGGAAAACTGTCAGACTGACAATGTTTCCCTTCATTGCATGTAGTGATTCACATCTTTAGCATCATTAGCAGCTCTCAGCCAAATGTAAAGAATACTGGCTGATCGTAAAATACAAATCGGCCAATTCCAATGGATCTTTGGCAGTATTCTTGTTGTTACTGCAAAACAGAGTAATATATAAAGCATGTCTTTTGTATACACTACACAAATATAGTGCTGTTAGTGGCAACTGTAAAGCAGCAATCCTAAATAGACCCACAGACACTTCTCATAGATCCACAGACCGAATACCTGAGGATTGGTGTATAGTGGTGCGAGTGCACCCAGCGATTGTGTGTACACCCGCTGTGGCCAAACGACTTACACAGCAGTGCTGTCAACAAGCAGACCGCAAGGGGGTCCTGTTCAGCAGCAGTTGCCGCTAGTGCTCATGCTCAGCATAATTCCAGATTACACGCCAATCGATATATCAGAGCCAGTACTGCAGGGCACACAGCAGGAGCCCAGACTGAGCACTGCAGCACACTGTACCAGCCAGAGTCAACATACAGCAAGCCCTGTGGAGAGACAGCCATGCCAACGCACACCACACTGTATTACACACCCCTCTGTGCAGCTGACATGCGGTGCTGTGGGCTTCGCAAAACATCCAAAGCACTAAAGAAATGTTTATATGGTCAGGTGAAGTGGGTCACCATACCTAACAGCAGTACACGTTCCTCCTTTTGCCCCTAGTCTTTTTAAGGCCAAACAAAGTGCAAAGCCACAGCTCCCTGTTGAGTTTAAAACAGTGTTATCAGACGTCATCTTAGACCCTTCACTCTGAGCCCCCAGGGCTTGCTCTCTCTCTCACTCTCACACACACACACACACACACACAAACACGATGAGGGTGGAGTGGGGCGGGGGACTTTGTTTACACACCATCATCAATCTGCACTCCCTCCAGGAAGACCCTAGAGAGCGACCAGTGATAATTCTCTCACCAGCGCACCTTCAAAGCCCTCTCTGACACAAACCAGAAAACAAAAGGAATGTTGAGAGGAGGAGGGAAACTCTGGAAAAACTCAACTCGTCTCTTTATTTCCCTCTAGTGGCCAAAAAGTGAAATAACTCTGCTGTGCTTTTCAAAATTCACTTCCATTTATTTATTTTTGTAACTTGAATTTTCATACAGGAATCCCACCTTCGCACTGAATTTCAGTCAATCTCATCTAAGATCAACAGAAAACAGCAATTCACATCAATACCTCTACACTGTGAGCTACTCTAGTGTCTGACATCACTTCCTCTGTGACCGTGGGGTAGTAGTAAATCTGATTGACTCCCAAAGCCCAATCCACATTCCTGAAGAGTAGACAGGGTTATCAGGAATCTTTATTGAGAGGTCAGCCAGACTTTCCTCTGAGTGAAGGCCTAGTGTTTGCCAGGAAAAAAAGATGGAAATGCCAGAGAAATTAGGCAACACTCCCCCTCTGGGTGGACTTCCATTGGCAAGGCCAAGCCAAACTCAAGTAATACTTGTTACAGCTTGTTATGTTGTGTTGTTTTTATCAATTAAATGGCCCAAAAATTTCCTCGCTTTTTTTAAATTAAAGCGTGAACAACAGCCTGTTTAATTCTAAGGGACAAAAAGAGGTTGGAAAATGTTCATGTAAAAACAAATCATTACTGTTCACGGTACATAAACTTAAATAAAAATCCTAAATGGATCAGAGGGAGCAAAAAACATGAACACAAAAAAAAAAAAATGTAGAATACAGTAATTCAGAAATCTCCTCTGCTTATTATGTAGGGCTTGTTTCAAGTTCTAAATAAAGATGCAAGTGAAAAGATTACAGTGAATGTAAGGCTCTTGCGGCAGGACTGAGTTCCTACCTTACACTCCACGACGCTCTGGTCTGATTCACACGTCACGTAGATCTCATCCACGGCCCGGCGCAGGTTATCAAACAGGAAGGCCCAGTAGCGCGCCCTCAGATCTACCTTCCTCGGCTGCCTGGTTTTAGTGGGGCTTTTCTCTGCTCCTTTCTCCAGCAAAGACCCTGCCACAGCCTTACAGTCCAGTCCTGCAGGCTGCAACAACACGCGCCACAGCTCCTTTTCACTTATTACTTCAACAAGGCTCATTTTACAAAAAACACCCTACAATGAACAGACGCCTTTCTTACTAAACTACACATTTCTGAACATACAAGCCAGGAATCTGCTGGCACGCCTGACCTCAGAAATATGGTCTTTGGTGCCATCTAGTGGCTGATATATGTATATGTACGAGAAACGAAAACCTAAAAGAATTCCAACCTTTTTGTTCCTGTGTTGTCCAGAGTTGATTCGCTGAGCTCTTGCATTGTTGTTGCTGTGAACCTTTGATTTTCCTGCAAGAACAAGAAAATTACATAATATAGGGAAAACAAAACAACCATTGCTTCCTGAGCTATGACTCAAAATATCATAGGTTCTAAAATATTGTATGCATTCTTCTTTTTTAATGTTCGGTTCTCTCTTGCTATTTTACCTATTGATAAATCAATAAAGCCACGCTTCAAGGAACTCAACACCTACTAAATTTCACTAGAACCTAGTGTGTAGTGCTGAGTGACTTTTAGAGGGTATGCAAATATTTTATACATAAATAATGTGAATGCAGCATACACTGTGTTTACAGAATCAGTGTTTACGGCTTAGTTTTCCATGGCAAGGAGGGGTAATGCATATTTACAACAAGATGGCTGTAATGTTTATGACCAATTCACTCAGGATAAGAACTCTCGGTACAAACTACAATGATGGGAGTGGCTCCTCAATTTACACACTTCCTTTACTTCAAAAAAAAACAAAAAAAACAGCAGAAAAAAATTGAAAACAAATGATGTTACCCATTATTTCTTTTACCCTAATCATCTACCTTGCTGTCTTAAGTTAATGAAGTGCGTCATTAGCATTCTCAACAGCTTGAGGATTTACAGCCAACAGTCAACATCGCTGCATAAAATCAACCTTTTTCTGTCATTTTAGATGTTTTAATGTTCAGAGTCTTTCACTGGAGGTAGGACAATACATATACGCTTGAATATATAATATAGAGAATACAAGTAAACGTTTCATTGAGCACCTGAAAATTTCTTTTCCACAGAATATAACAGCATTTTTACTGACGTGGCAATATGCACAGGATTGAAACATCCAAAGGTTATTGTTTTATAGTAGGTTAACTTGGCCTGAATCTTTGCTGATGCAGCAGCACATGATCATCACAGAGAAATGCTGGTAAAAAGAAAAAAACTGTTGTTTTGTCATTAATATTTGGAATAATAATTTCTCACTGTTGATTATACTTGTAACAGAGTAATCTACAGATTATTTTGATGATTATGTAAGTAATATGTAAGTAAATGTGTGTGTTACTGGTCAGACTGTGAATCTAAAGAAAAGCTATGAAAATGAAAACCAGAGTGTTCTAAGAATAAAGTTGTAGACATGCACAACACAGAACTGTCCCCCAAAATGTGGTGCTATCTGAAAACTGCATCCCACAAGCATCATCCAACAACCTGAACAACCTGGAGCAAATTTGCCAGGAAGAACGGTCGAACATCACTCTCAAACAGTGTGCAAAGCTGGTAGAAACTTACCCCAACAGACCTGAAGCTGTTACTGCAGCAAAGGGTGGTTCTACCAAGTACTAGTCTGAAGGGGTTTAATACTTATGCAAGGAGAATTTTTCAGTTTTTATTTTTTAAGGATCTGCTCACATTTCTTCGAAAACATACTTTAGGAAATGATTGGTCAGCAATAAAAACACGCTGGTACAGTCTGTGTAAGCAACATTTGTAACCCAGACAAATCTGATGACTTAACTTTTGCACTGTAAATGGACCACTCCACCAAATTAGTTCAAACTGTGGTCCCACAGGAAAAAATAAAATAAAAACAAGCATTAAGACCTTTTTTACAATGATTTTACAAAGTTTCTACAAGGATTATATTATGACCAACTTAAACCAAAGGCATTAATAGAAACAGTGATATGCTAAACATACACAAAATCATCATTTATACGGTACTATCTACTGGAAGGTGTCTGTCCCAAACCCTAACCCCTAAATTTCAACTTGTGAAAATAATAATTACATTTTCTTTGTATTTTACACAATGTATTTTTTTTAAGATCTTTTTGATTTCTTTTAAAGTGAAGTTAAAAGTGTTTTAAAAAATGCCATCTCACATTTTCATGTCACTACCAAAACACAAAGACTTACGGTCTATAGGTGGAGCGTTATTTTAGCCACACCCCTGCATTTTAAAGCAGGAAGTGAGTGTGTCCCTGTCCCTCATGGCTACATGGTGAGCATCTCATTGTTTTTAAGTAACTCTGTCCCAAAGTCTGAAAATAAGAGTGTAATATTAAGAAATGTCACCAAACAAAAATCATAATTTTGCAAATAAGTAAAGTATGTGTTTTAATGAACAGCATTATTAATGTACTCCAATGACTCCACATGTAATTGATCAGCCAAGAAATGTTTGTTGTCCTTAGCTTGGTTCTTTATATTTGCACGGGTGCTACAAAGCTAATGTGGCTAACAAGTAATGGAAGCGTACACCACACCTGATTTTTATGAAAATGCACAAAAGTACATCATATACACTGTATGCCTAAAGGTTTGTAGACACTTACTCCTAATATAATACTACTTCTTTGGAAGTCAAGAATATATAAAAGCTCTAATAAAAGCCTTTACATTTCTGAGAAGCTTTGCACTAGATGTTGAAACATTTTTGTGAGGATCTCGTTGTATTCAGCCACAAGAGCATTAGTGAGGTCAGGGACTGATGTTGGATAATTAGTTTGAATCATAAACGCCTCTCCAAATCATCCCTAAATGTACTGCATAGAGTTCTAACACTTCAAAGAATGCAGTTTCACTGCTCCACAATCCAACTGATGCAAGGGGGGCTTTATACCCCTCTAGCTGTCATTTGGCAGGGGTATGGTAACTTTAGGCTCACATTCTGCTGCTCCAGCGCACTCCATTCTATTGGAAGTGCTTTTACATGGACATGATAGGAGCTGTGCATGGGCCACCTTAAAGTAGCCAAATTCATTAATCAAAAGGGGCGTTGGGATCATAGACATACATGCATAGAGGCAGCACTGGGTTCAGCCAGGCAAGTCAATGGCACTGCCATCTTGTGGCGGTCAATACAACTGCCCCAGTCAGTACAATTAAAGAGGTTAAAGAAAAGAAAAGAAAGAAATACAATCCAGAATTACACTATTTTAAGAATGCATAGAACTCAGGACGTTGGACAGGATTATAGGAAGAGGAAAATGTAGCAGTTGTCAGTCATGTTTGTGTGATGTTTATGTACAGATATGGCCATGTGACAGGTGAAGCAAAGAGATCTCAGTGGTGTAACTAATTTTGTATTAGGCTTATTTTATAGCTTATACAGGTCATCTTAACTGAATATGACCTGTAGTTATACTAATTTATTTACACTGATTGTTAGCATTAGGTAAATGTACATTGTAACTCGAGCCATCTTTTAGTCCGTTTGGGGATTTTTCCATGCAATACATTTGTATGTGTTGGGTTTGTTGGGTTTGCTGATGTGTTGCTTTTTCTAGCAGAGCCGCGCTAAAAACTCATTTCAATTATTTTTTAACACCAGATGCAGACTGAATACATTTTCTGCTGCTGGTCCAGACAACTAGCTAACCAGCACACCTCCATTTATGAAACAGAAAGCAACTGACAGAATGTCAGAAATCCATGCAACTGAGCTAATGAGTATTCTTTACATTTATTTTGTTGCCGTCCAGAATGTACGTGTAAGCAAACAGTCAAAAGAAAGAAATTTGCTTGTCACTTTGTGGTCACAGACTCAGATAGAGCTCCACCGTTGGACTTAATACTTACACTTTACATCTGGTATGTATGTGTGTTAATAAGAGAGTTTTATGATAATTAGATTAACATCTAGGAATGTTACTTTTTTTAATCTAGACTGCGAACACATTGGTTGTATTTAATCTGCTGTCTCTTTGCTCAGAGGGATCACATCATTACCTGCAAGCATCAGATAAGTATATTAATTTAAATCTAAATATTACGGCACTTAGACACTCCTTATGGCTGTAATCAACTTTCTTATTTCAATTTTGACAGGTGATTTATAGCCAACTGTTGGTAGCCAATTTGTTTTACAAATAGAGCACCATGTAAATTGGATGTTTAACCAGCAACATGCAGAAATGTCTGGCAATCATAACAAATCAAATTCAGGGAGAACTGGTTAAGTAATATAGAAGTTATGTCCAATTTAATTATAAGTACACATCTCAATGCATGTGTATTTGTTTACAAGCAGATCTTGACAGCTCTAACATGGCAGACACACAGACATTTTACCTCAGATTCAGGACAACAGACAAAGCGGCATCTATGTATCTGTATCTATGCTCGGAATACAATTGGACATACAATGTAGCTAAAAACAGAAGTAGCAGCAGCCATGATAATGCCTGAGTTCTGTCTGTACTACAGTCCAGTTGTATAGATATCAGCATGCCAAAAAGCATCAGAAATTACATAAACAAGCTTGTAAGTTTATAAGCTTCCATTGCTTGTTATTAACATTATAGTAGCTCCAAACTGAAAATAAAGAATCAAACTTTAGTTTTGAACTGGACTATTTGGGATCAGTGCACACTCAACTTGGCCACATTGAATAAATTTTAGGGTTGCGAAACAATTCAAATAATTATTCATGATTAATCACATTAGTTTGTGTAATAAATCAAGATTAATCACTTGTCTTACTTGCGCTCATTTGAATTTTTCATTTAAAAAGCAGTGCACTTTATTATAGTTCTGTGAGCGGACAAAATAGGCTTCATCAGGAAGCATTTACTACCTTGTACAAATTCATTTCCATAAAAGTTGACTATATGTGAAATGCTAACAAAAACAAAAAGCAGTGATTAGCAAATTCTGTTTGAATTAGTAAATTCTACACATTCAAAACAGTACAAAAGCACAATATTTTTATGTTTTAGCTTATGAACTTGTTTTTTGTAAATATACACCCCTTTCAAATATAGTGCCTGCAACACACTCCAAAAAGGTTGGGACAGGTGCATGTTTACCATTGTGTTACACCACCTCTCCTTTTAACAGCACTTGTCTGAAAACGTCCCTGATATTATTAACAAGAGCATTAATAATGCCCAAACCTTATTTACAATTATTGAAAGGCAGACACATTCACCAGCAAGGGTAGACCTGGAACTCCTTTCTGTCATGAAATTTAATGTATTTACAACACTCTTTAGCAATAAAATCCTAAGATAGGCATCACCTTTACTCCTTCGATAAATACAGCTAATCAGCATGTACTGTCTCAAAATAACAAGTTTCACTGCTATTGACCTAAAAACTTAAAAAAAAAAAACAAAAAAAAAACTGCTCAGCATCTAAAATCATCCATAAGCGTTTTTTGCCCACTCAATTTTTAAAAGAAGTCCTTAGTTTACTAGCAGTGGATTTATTGCAACTAGTGAATGGGTCGCACCTTTCAGGCATCGTCCCTGGGCTGCTGAAAACTGTTGTGATTAAGCTTCTCTTAAAAAGAGCAATTTACATGTCTACCTCCCTCATAATTATAGAACTATTTCTGATCTTCCATTCATATGTAAAATTATTGAGAAAGTTATCTTCACTCAGCTCAGGAAATTCTTAAATGAATACTGTTACAACGACTTCGAGTCATTCCGGTCACATGACTGCAGAGACTGCCCTTATTTCGGTCTTGAATGGCATTCGTATGAACACAGATGGTGGCAAAACATCTGTTCTAGTGCTTCTTGATTTTAGTGCTGCATTTGATATTTGTCAATCATACCACTCTTTTAGACAGAGTGGAAAACGGAGTGGGGCTTCCTGAAATGGTTTCTAGCTGGTTCCCTTCATATGTGAAAGACTTTATTACCATCGACAACCATGAATCTAGATGGGCAACACTGACCTGTGGTGCCCAACAACGACCCATTCTTAGGCCCTTCTGCTCAAACTTTATATGCGACTGGACCAATAAAAATAATAAAGTCATGACACTCAGATCCACTTAGATTACTACAGTCCCTCTAGGTCATTGCTTAGAATAAATAAACAACTGTATGAAAGACCGCTTTCTGCAACTAAAGACAGAAAAGAAAGAGGTTACTGTTTTGTTACTAAGGAGTAAAGACTTGAGGTCAGTGCTCATCTTGACACCAGAGCTCTGAGGACCAAGCCAGAAATCTTGGCATAACTACTGATTCAGATCTGAATTTCAACAGCTATGTAAAAGTAATAATGCAAACAGCCTTTTACCATCTCAAGAAAAAAACAAAGCTTAAAACTGTCATGTCACAACAAGACCAAAACAAAACAGAAAAAAAACAACTAATTTATACATTTATCTCCAGCAGGCTGGACTACTGCAATGATCTCTTTATTGGCCTTCCTCAGACCACAATCAAACAGTTTCAGCTTATTCAAGGTTCAGCAGTTAGTATGCTTACAAGAACTAAAAGAGTACATGACTCCAATCCCTAAGTCACTCCACTAGTTACCAATTAACTACAGAATTGACTTTAAAGTGCTTCTAATGGTATGTAGATCACTGATTGGCCTTGAACCAAAAGAAATTGCTGTTCTGCTTTTATTATATGAACCTAACAGGCCTCTCCGGTCACCAGGGACTGGTCAGTTAGTAGTGCCCTGAATCAGAACCAAACAGGGTGAGGCAGCATTCAGACATTATGCTGCCAATTGCAAAAACAAACTCCCAGATGAGGTCAGATATGCTCCAAATGTGGCACCTTTAAGTGAAGTTTAAAGACATTCTTGTTTTCTCATGGCTTGGTTCAGCACTGCACTTTATCGTAGCACCAAAATATCTTTAAATTCCTTTTATTTTCTATTTTATTTGTCTTTATCTCTGTCATGCACTTAAATTTTAATTTTAGTAACTATTTTTTGCAAATGCTCAGGATGTTATAAGCTTTAATACAATAAAGGTTTTATTTTTCTGTGTTTGTGTGAAACATTTTGAATTGCCACTGCATATGCTCTACAAATAAACTTGCCTTGCCAAGACAAAAACTGATCCAGTTTTGAAAGTGGATTTTTGCCATTCTTCTGTTATACAAGTGTTCAGCTGTGCAACCTTTCAGGGCCTTTGTTGTTGTATTTTGAGCTTAATAAGACACATTTTCAAAAAGAGACAGTTCTGGACTGCAGGAAGGACAGTCTGAAACTCACACTCCCTAATTACACAGCCATGCTGTTGTAACATGCAGAATGCGTGGCACTGCCATGCTGAATTAATCATGGGTGTCCCTGAAAAAGACGACATCTAGCAGCCAGCATATGTTGCTCTAAAATGTGTTTAGCTTGAACAGTGCTTTCAAACATGTGCAAATTACTCACTGACACACCTTCATATCATAACTGGCTTTTGAACTTTACACTCGTAACAATCTGGATGGTGCTTTACCTCCTCAAACCCAGAGAACACAACATCCATTATTTCTTTTTTGTGAACAATTTTTTTATTGACTTTTAGCAAATACGTTGGCATATATTTTCATCATGAAGTCACAGAACATCCCCATTCCATCCCCCTGCAAATGATACTTTTGGACTCAACAATCAGCAAAATTCAGGCCATTCATTAGCCAGAAATTACTTTCACCAAGAGAGCCGCCGATGAAACCTGCCTTTTAAAAGCTGTATTTGAACGAGAGGACTACAATAGCAGAGTCACAGCAACAGAGGGCAAGCAGCTGGGCTTCAGGATGGTACGGATGGTTTGAAGGATCAAACTAGGAAAATGCGTCAATGGCATCAGTTAATATATAAAAATGTTATTAACGTGTTAATTTTGACACCACTAACAAATACTACATTTATTTCTGCACTGGGACTAGCACACTACAAATGCTTTATAACTACAAGTCCCTGAACCTTGAAAAAACCTGACAAAAAGAGCCCTGTGCAGTCTATTTAACAACAACACTAGCACAGGAAAAGCCTTTGGATCTGGGGCAGCCTGTTCAAGTACAGTGACCCCAGAGGATTGAGGAGGCTTGAGAACAAGGACAGTCTTGTAGCAACAGGTAACTAAAAACGTGACATTTGGGACACTAACTGTTCGTACATCACATTAGCTATGGTAATGGACCGTGTATAGTGATGGGTGCAGCTAAGTTGTTATTTTGTAAATGTGAAAGTGTGTGTGTGTGTGTGTGTGTGTGTGTACATATACATGCCTTCCTCCTCCTTATTCTCCAGAGGTACACTCCAGGCGATGAGGTTGCGAGCGGCGCGTCCCTCCTCCGCTACGATCTTCCTTACCTTATCATGGCTGTTGGAGCGCTGGAAAGAGGCCTGCACAAAGGAAACAAACAAGCAGCATGATTCTGCTGTAAACTCTGTGACAGAAACAACATATACTGACATGCTTCTTACTGCAGTGCTGGGCTGCATTTATAAAATTTAATGTCATAATATTCTCCAGATGTGTCACTGCAACATGGCATAAGATGATAATTAAGTGTGCATTAATGAAGTTATTGAGCCCTACATCCTGAACACATTATGGTACGGTCTTAAAAAATCTGACAAAGACTGTTTTTGTTTTGTTTTGACTGAACTGTTTTGTTCTGTTCTGCTTAAACCAAAGGAAACTTTATGCCACATTATAAACCCTTGCTATTTATTAGGGGTGGGAATCTCTAGGCAGCTCAGTATTCAATTCAATGTCTGATTAAGGGTATCTCCATTTTATCTGAATCTGAAAGCAGCCAAAACAGTGTGCACACATTAAGTCAGTTCACCATCTAATAATCTAACTACATTTTAATTTAATCTTTTAAGCGTTACACACCGTATATACCTCATAGCTCATAACCTGCATATTCAAATAAGCATGCATTAGTGAGATCCTTTTGGCATTTTGCAGTGCCAAAGAATCCTACTTTATAACATTTCTGGCTACATGTGGGTTTATTTTATTGGACAGGAGGGGAAAAGCAGAGTCTATATAAAAATTGGATTAAGATACTTTGACAATCAATTCAGAATTTTCATAGAGAGAATTGCGATGCATCTAAGAATTTATTATTTTTCTTCTCCTGATACTCTATGCACTATTTCCTTAAACAGAAGCATTGAGAAAACAACATTCAAAGCAGTTTTGTTAGCCAGTACCAATAAAATTAGAATCAATGTTCTAATAACAACAACAACAACAACAACAACAACAACAACAACAATAATAATAATAATAATAATAATAATAATAATAATAATAACAACAACAACAACAACAACAACAACAATTAAACCAACCATTCATGTCGCTAATGGTTGCAAAAAATGTTCTGCGATCCATGTGGCAAAATCAAACGCATTTTATTGCTCAGCTGCCATTATGGGTGGCAGTTTGTGCTGTGCCTGTAAAGCGTCAGACATTAAAACATGCACATTATGCAGATGGTACAGCACTGATGTGTTGCTGGAAGAAAGACCATCATAAAAAACCAAGTTCCCACCATCAAGTGAACTGAACCAGGATTCATGTGGGTGTGGACCGAAACCTGTAATTTTTGGAGATCTCGGTTTAGTTTTTTGATGCGGACCTGTGCACAGGTGGAGTATTCACACCTGTCAAAACAGACCAAACTAAAGAAAAAGTTTAATAGGTCCGCATCAAACAACTTGGGTGTGAAAAGCCCCTAGAGTCAGAATTCTTCACAGTAGTAGTGACAGAAATCATGTCTGAAGCATTTAATGCCTCTAAAAGCTCAATCACAGAACATTATTTCAATAAAAGGTTATGAATATGCTGCCCAAAACAACTTTTTACAACATTTTTGTAATAAGCAATATTTCTGAGATTTGTTGGCCTAAAATATATATTTTCCTGAATACATTTATGGCAGAGAGGTACATGCTGGACATTGTACGACAAAATATTAGCCAAAGAAAAATTTTGTATTTATTTTACCATCATGAACAATACTTGAGTAGACATGGGCAGGTTCACTGTTAGTTTTGGACAATAAATAAAACAGCTATATTTGTGTTATAGACAGCCTCAGGTTCTTATCACCACCATTGTGAAGAAATCAGAGCTGGTATTTTTTGTTATTATTAACCATTTCACATCAGACCACTCGGAATGACATGGTTTACATCTCAAGTTTTATTATTTAGACAATCTGAAAAGTTGAGGTGTCCAAAATGTCACTTAGCCCTTCTCCTATTCGTTTAGGCTTGACTTTGGGCTTAAGTCATGAAGCTAAAAAAAGAAATCTAATGTCATGACAAAAAGCCTGTTCATGAGCTCTTGCTTACTTCCAGAATCTAAACATTACAAAGAGTGCTCGGCTATAACAGTGAACACTGGAGGCCACTGAAGTGTATTTTGCTCAGAACATTGTTGGTTTCAGCTAGCATGTGTGGGTGGGTGAGTAAGCTGTACACAGGCCAGGGGAGACACCCAAGTGTTTTCCATTTTACAATAACACCCACTAATAGAAAGCACCGTAGACCTCACAGCAGTGCCTGCCAGGAGCGTCTCACACTTAGGCTCTGGACAGGGACATTTTATCACTTTAAAAACACTAAATGGCTTTGATTATGCAGTTCTTTCTCCAGCTCTTGCAACATAATAATGGGACAGAGATCTAGTTTTCACCTTTCTGCTTTGACACTTTGTGTGACATTGGATGGATCATGGGAAATGAATTGATGCCAATTCTCTCACTCTTTCTTGCCATCTTTCTTTCACTCTCATGTCTAATGTCATCTCTCAGCATGGGTCAGGAACACATGAACAAATGCCAAAAGCCACTCTGTTTTGCACTCCATGAGCATGGAGACCCACTTTGAGAGGCCAATTAAAAAGAGAAGCCTTCTGAAAGCCCTTTTGTTAATGCTTTCCACTAAGAGCAATGCTATCAAAGCAAAGCAGCATTTAAATAATGTATAAATGTCATATCAATAATACCATACATTCAGAAGATATATGGAGCATCTAAGCCTTCATACTGGTTAGCGTATAGATGACAGTCACAATGCAGGCTGAAAAGTGACTCAACTACTGTATTCTCCTTGATGTCGTGACTGTATCACATGACCATTCTTGTCTCCGATGTAACTGTTATTGCCTTAGGTGGGTGCATAAACTCAAAGCACAGCATTATAGTAGACAAATGCCTTAATCAGAGCTGCTAGCAATCAGCATTCAAGCCACTGAAACTTATTCTAGATGTTCTGAAACGAGGTAAGCAAGAGCATGCCGAGTAAATAACGAAACAGCCCACTCTAATAGGTTCAAAAAATGAAATCTATATGTGCATATGCTTACGTGATGCAAACTGGGGGCATGAACAGAGAGGAGAGTTTTTGGGTAAGGTTCATTAGGTTTCACACATGCATAAACAGCACACGGTCCTGGCCTGCTACAATCTGATGTCCCTAGGCTTAATATATACAACTGACCTACTTTAGAGCAGCAAGGCAGCATCTTCAGTTCAAGCTCTATTCTCTCCTCACTCACTATTCCCTCACTATTCGCTGTGAAAAGAAGGACAATGGACGATTTCTAAGCCATGCACTGGCTGACTAAATGATCCTGGTTTTAAAAAGTGGACATAAGCAAACTCAACCTTATGTTTTCCACAAGGCTATCTGACAGTAAATATTTACTCCTGGTTTCCTGGGCTTTGGCAGGCATCAGATGGCAGTTGACCGCTGAAGTAAAGTGCAGGGTCCATCCTCAGACAGCGCAGGATGGCTCGGGAGCCATTTAAAGCACATGGTGACTAAGATAAAAAGCATGAACTCAGGCACACCTGATGCTACAACAGCTCTTTCTGAAGAGCGTACAGCAGCCCAACCGAATACGCAGGCTGGGATTATGAAGAGAGGCTCCCCCTTCATCCACTTAATCACCTGCAGGCCCCTGCCACCTGGCTCACAGGGGACAAAGAGGCCACCTCTGCAAGGTACTGACCACTGTTATACGACAGTGGCACCAATCCTGGCTCTGGAGTATCCCTGACCTGTTTTCTCTGCTTGAAGGCAACCAACTGAACTCAAGAAGGGCTTGTTGAATATAGGAAAATGGAATATACTGCAGTATGTTGTCAATATATTCAATTCAATACAGTTTAATACAGTACAATTTAATTCATATTTATTATCATTATATGTACAGTCACATGCAAAATGCACAACTGATTTTTTGCAGAATTTAACATAATGGGGAAAATAAAAATGTTGCCTGTGCATGTTTTCTAATATGTTAAAATAAATGTGTGTGCTAATGGTAGAAAAATGCCATGTTTAAAGTTGTTCCCTGTAGAAGATAACATTTTCACTCGGAAACAAAAACATGTAACAAAACATGGTATAATAAGGTATTTTGCATATGACTATGTACAGTATAATGAAATTCCAAAAGGTCAATAAACATGTTAATATTCTGTAATATATTACATTTTTATACTGATAATTAGTTGCATCAGGTCTTATATCGGAGAAAACACTAGGATATGAAGGCCAATTCCAGGACCAGGTCTGGGAACCACACAAGGTCAGAGGCCACACTAAGAGCTAATAGCTTCTATTCACATGCACAGCACACAGAAAGAAGCACTCTAAGCCAGTCATCTCAATAGATAAAGAGGCAGTAGGGATAAGGTTTCATGTCCATAAGCAGGTCTAAGCATAGAGGCATGCAAAGAGGGACGAGAGAGAGAGAGAGTGAAAGAGGAAGAGAGAGAGAGAGAGAGAGAGAGAGAGTTAGAGGGAGAGGGGAGAGATTAGAAGGTACGTACAGAGTAGAAGTAGAGTCTGTAAGCGGGTTCTTCATCCTTATCCGACCCTGACATACTTCTGCAGCGCACTTCAAGCAACCTGTTTCCCCCTAGCCGGCATCATAGCCACTGCACGCATGGGGAGGCATCGTCATCTGACAGCACAACTCAAAATAGCCACGCAGAGCGAGCGCCTCCAAGCTCCGGCAACTTGGCCAGCCGTGTCAACTTCTCTACCAATCAGGAGAGGAGAGGGCGCTGCTTAGCAGGCCGGCGGCTGGACAAGGCTACTCACCCTGACTGCTCCTGAGCTAATCACAGCTGAGCTTCTAAACGCTCTGTTCTGCCCTGCTGAGCTCGCACTATCCCTCTCCAGACTGACACCACGGTGCTGCAGTGTCCGCTGCTACCGCTAATTTGTCTCTCTCTCTCTCTCACTCCTCAAACAGCAGCAAAACACAGTCAGTCCACGCTCTCTATTCCTCTGTGATCTCTTTGCGTGCAGTCATGTGTATATGACAATCCGGCCCACTCAGCCACCCTCTGGCTGCTGCTGCTGCT